ATCAGGAATTGATTCTCCCTTCAAAAGTTAAACTAAAAACAAACTGAGACTTACCTTCCACAGGTCACTATTTGTCTAAATTTACCTCAACCCCGTCTCTGTCACCATCTACTTCTTGACCTCATGTCTGGTCCCCAGTACCTGAGAGAGGATCAAACAGCCAGCCAGCAAGTCATATGGATTCACCCTCTACTGGTGATGAGGATATGTCTCCACCAGGTTCACCATCACTTCTGTTGACACCACCTGACTCTGATGTCAGAGATGGGAATCTGCTTTCACCATCTGAAGGTATTCCATCTTTTTCTGATCTCATGCAGTGTATGGCAAATCCCTACAAATTTAAGTTTTAAAAAAGCTGATCCTGTTTTTGACCAAGTACAGTTTAACACAGAACTTCCAATTCAAATCTTGTTTGTTTAAAATATTCTTCCCCCACCTTTCTCCTTAAAAAGGACCCAGTTTACCTCAGCCCCGTCTCTGTCGCCATTTCCTTCTTGACGCCATGTCTGGTCTCCAGTACCTGAGAGAAGATCAAACAGCCAGCCAGCAAGTCATATGGATTCACCCTCTACTGGTGATGAGGATATATCTCCACCAGGTTCACCGTCACTTCTGGTGACACCACCTGACTTTGATGTCAAGGATGGAAATCTTTGTTAAGAAATTTATTTTCTATCTTGCTTATGCATAGTATAAGTCGTATCATTTTGTATGGGCTTCCCACATTAGCAATATATAGGTATCAAGCCCTGACCATTTCACTAACATAAGGAAAGGAGTGTGTAGGATGTGTCCTTAGTATAAGTCGTATCATTTTGTATGGGCTTGCCATATTAGGAGTATATAGGTATCAAGCCCTGACCATTTTACTAACATAAGGATAGGAGTGTGTAGGATGTGTCCTTAAAAAAGAAATAAGGAAAAGAAGAACGGGTTGACATGGGAAGATTATAGATGAGACAGCAAAGGGGGAGAATCCCAAACATAATGAAGAAGGCAGAAGTCAACTAGGGTAAAGGTTTGTTTGTTTGTTTGTTCATACCCTGTCTTTCTCCTTAAAAAGGAATCAAGGCAGCTTACATCATTGAAAGACAATATTTAAAGCTAAAGCCATAAGTATGCATATACACATCATTAAATGACAATATTTAAAGCTAAAGCCATAAGAATGCAAATACTAAAAAGAAACAAATACCACTCTGAGAGCTGGTAAACATAAGTAGTAATTGTGACTCTGTCAGCGCAGTAATGCATAATAATTCATCCAAAAGTCACTCATATAGCCATTCACTGGGAGAAAGCTTGTCTGAAGAGAAAGGTCTTTGCCTGCTTGTGGAAGGACTGCAAAAATGAGGCCAGTCTGATCTCCTGTAGGAGGAAATTCCAAAGTCTGGGGCAGCAACAGAGAAGGCCCTCTCCTGTGTCCCTATGAGGTGCACCTGTGAGGGTGGCGGGACTGAGAGAAAGGCCTCCCCTGATGATCTTAACACTTGAACAGATGGGACATAAGAGTCTTTGAGTCACTTGGACCCAGGCCATTTAGGGCTTTATAGGTTAAAACCAGCCCTTTGAATTGTGCCCAGAAACTGATCTGCAGCCAGTGAAGCTGCTATAGCAGGGGGTTATATGATCTCTGTAACCCAGTGGTTCTTAACCTTGGGTTACGCGAATGTTTTTGAACTGCAACTCCCAGAAACCCCAGCCAGCACAGCTGGTGGTGATGGCTTCTGGGAGTTGCAGTCCAAAAACACCTGAGTAACCCAAGGTTAAGAACCACTACTGTAACCAACCCGAGTCAGCAGTCTTTACTGAAACTTATAAAAGAGCCAGTAGCAAAGAAGCCATATTCTTTGCCCTCTCCTTCCAGAAGGGTGGAAAATCTATGCAACAGTCAGGAGGACTGTGCTACATTCACGCTCAGTCATCCACAAACAAGTGCTATGATAGTGGACGCTTCCCAACCATGATTGAAGGGGTGGCAGTGTACCTCCCCTTCTGAGGAAAGGACACGAGATGGACCTTATTGGCCAGATCAGCTTCCTGTGAACATTACTACTTTGTGATTCTATGACCCCTTGTTTTAAACTAACACCAAAAAAGAATAGGACCCAAGGCATTAATCTTAAGAAAACTGTTTCATTTTCCAGACACATTAGGGGAAGAAAACTCTGAGATCTCCAACTCACTTAAACAGTCTATGAATAGAACAAACATCACAGCAAAACAAAAAGCAAACAGCAGTCTCCACTCCTCCCTGGCCCAAATGTTTATAATTCGACTCAGCTTTAAATGGGGGAAAAATTACTTGCAGACAGAATTAAATTAAAGCTAGGCCATATGCTACCAGGGTTTCAAATGACATAATGGCTATCTGGTCCCACATGATAGTGAGGAAGCCCCCCTTTGAAATAAAAACTAGGTCTAAACCAGTGGTTCTTAACCTTGGGTTACTCAGGTGTTTTTGGACTGCAACTCCCCGAAGCCTTCACCACCAGCTGTGCTGGCTAGGGTTTCTGGGAGTTGCAGTTCAAAAACACCTGAGTAACCTAAGGTTAAGAACCACTGGTCTAATAATATATGACCCTAGCTAAGTGGTATAAGTGGCAGAATAAAGGTTATGGCATGGGGTACAGACTGAGCTAGAGGAAGACTTTTAGAGGTGCTAAGCACTGAACAGATTATTGTGCACCCTACAAATATAAAGTGTGCCGGGTCCCACAGCTTAAAAAAACTATTATATGCATGAAAATGCAGTAATTCAATTGTATAACATGTGGCAAGAAGAACCACGTATCATATACAAAATCATATGTTCAATCAAATTACCGTCTTCCAGCCCAATTTCACTCTTTGATTTTGTCAGAATCTGTAAACTGCAAAGCTCAAACAAGAGCTTTTGGGGTGTTTTTAACAGTGGCTGTTATTTCTTTGGCTTGCACATATAGTGCAGAGTCCATGGGTCTAAAAGACCAGCAGCTCTTTTTATCTTTACACCCATCCAACCTCCCAAACTACAGAAATAATAAACAAACTAACAAACAAAAACTCACCAAGCAATGCTGATGCTGATTGATCCTTTCCCTGAAACTATGAGGTTTTTTGCTAGGCAAGTCTTTATACGTGTTAGTTTTTACTAGTACATACTCAATTACTTGGTGCTCGTGGGGGAGGGAGGGAGATGAGGGTGTGGGATGGATGGATGTGGTTTGTTAAGGAGGGTGCACGATTTGCACCATGATTCATGGAAAATCCAGCACTGAAAAAGAAAAACTCTGTAGTGCCCCCTTCCCTTGTGCTTATTTTGCTTAATGGTTAATCCTGGGCTGGGTGCAGATACCCAGTAAGGATGGATCTCTAAAGTTGCACACTCAGGAACATTAGAGGCAGATTAGCCTTTCTTTGTACAAGAGGATTAATTCCCCTTACACTGTTCTGTGCTTTGACATGTGGTTTTGCAATAAGATATCCAGGGGATTGCCCGTTTTAGCCTGTGGTATCAAAGCAACATCTACAACAAATCTAGTGGTAACTTCAAGACATAAACTTTTGTGGACTGCCACCCACATTACCCAATGCATGATCTGTTACCTGAGAAGTTAACGATCTTGCTTGTGGACCTAGACAGTGTCCCTTGTTTATTGTGTTACCCATGACATAGTCATGCATTGGTCTAACCCTTTTTGAGGATCCCACATGTCTGCAAGAAATTCACAAATCTTTAGTACATCCAAATGTTAATTTTTATTTATTTGTTTTGTTTTAATTAGATATTTTTTATTTTAAAATTGTGGTATTTTATGTTTATAGAAGAATTTTATAAAGTGTCTTTCTTGCAGCTAATACAGTCCTGGAATCAGTATCTTTATTATTTATCAGCTACCAAAACAACACAGCCTACTTGGTCAGGGGCTATATGGTTCCCAAGATTACACAAATGCAAGAAAATAAAATGAAAGAGGTATCCTTAGCCTGGGGAAGTGGATTTCATACATGAAAGCTTGCTACTTATTTTTAGTAGCCCAATAAAAGGCACCACCCACTCTTGCATGGGTAGGAATTTTGTCTCACTTCACAGCCTTATTTGATTTTTAATTAATAGGCTTTGGTTTCTCTTCTACCCCCTTATACTGTACTTAAGGGCAGATTATAAGGGGAGCATGGGCCAGTGTGCATGTTGCAACCAACCAAAGACATTTGGTGCCTACTTCTTTGGAGTAATAGGTAGTCCACCTCTGGGCTGCGCCACTGGGGGGACTGGTAGGATTGAAGACTTCCCTGCACAAGGGACAACCTAGTATCAGGGAGAAGGGTCGCTTCAAATAGTTCTTGAGGTACTAGTCTTCTGCAGACAGGGGTGTGTTTGTAGGGAGGAGCCCCTGTGGGAGATGTGGATTCAAATCCACGCTCAGGGATTCCTCTTGGGATCTCAGCCTAGCTCACCTTCATGTTGTGAAGAAAGGAGGGGGAGATAATGGGGTACGTTTCTTCTGAACTAATGGGAAGAAATACTGAATAAAATCATTCCAGCAATGTCGACCATCTGAAGCGATCTGTCAATGCAAAATCGACACTCTGAGCTTACCACCTCAGGGCAAACGAGGACAGAGGAAACAACGCTCAAAAGTCAACCCATGAGACAGAACTGCTGGATTTTGGAGTCAGAGGCTGGGAGTTCGATTCCCCAGCGTGCCTCCTTGAGAAAGGCTGGCCTCGATGCTCCACAGGGTCCCTTCCAGCTCTGCAGTGCTCAGATCCTTATGATGATTATGAAATAAAAAACGCCCCGGGACACCCCAATCACCTCCTGATTGGCTAATGATCGGGTTTCGGGAAGGCTGGAAGGCCGCCTCCCTCCCCACGAAGGACCCAAAAGGAGGCACCTCCTCTTGCCCCGCCCCCCGCCCCCCCCCCGCCCCTCCCCGCCGGGCTTCTTTCTTTCGCAGGAAAGAGGGAAGGAGGGCGGGAGGGAGGCAGCGACCGCCCGCCGTCTCCTCCTCCTCCGTCCGGCAGCCGCGGCGGACGGAGCGAAAAGCTTGGAGGGGGCCCTCCTGCCAAGAGGCGAGAGAGACGGAGAAGGAAGGCGCTGCGGGACGAGGACGCCTGAGGTGGGGCGGAGGAGAGCGAGAGGGAGAGGGAGAGCGAGAGCCCGCCTTCCCCTGTCAGCCACAGGTAAGGCGGATCGTCTGGGGAACTGGATCGGGATCATCGAGAGAAGGTCGGGAAAGGGGTGAGGGTGGGATCTTACCCCAAGACTCGGAGTCCTCCGCTTTCGAGGTAAGAGGAAAGAGGATCCTTCAGTAGCTCCAAAAGCTAGGGAAACCTCTCTCTCTGTGTGTGTGTGTGAACGTGAGTGCTCGGTATAGCTAGCAGTGGGACATGCCAGCATCCGCGTAGAGCAGATCCCTGCTAGAAACCGGAGTGCGGTGGTTCAGACTGATTTCCTGTTGCCCAAAGAGGAAGAAACAACCCGCCCCAAGTATCTTTGTGGCAAGGAGAGTATATGTAACTCAGATGTGTGCTGCCAATACAACAGGCCCGCCCCCGGCCAGGGCTGTGGATTTAACAATGCTTTCTGGGAGTGCAGACCTTGTGAAGTTCTCCCAGATCGGTTCTGAAAAACATGATGAGAGCCATGTGGGATCTTCCAGATGTGGAAATAGAGCTCTTATCATCCCTCGTGGTTGACAACCATTGACGAAGGCTGATGGGAGCTGCTGTCCGAGATATGTTGAGGGACAGCGGTTTCCCCTTCTTGCTTTATATGGCAACTGGTGTGTGTGTGTGTGTGTGTGTGTGTGGAATGAATCACAAGGTTCATCATGCTCACACTGACCTTAAAACAGTGCAACATAAAGTAAAGCTGATGTTTCAGGCAACAGAATCTACATGATGTGCAGAATTAAAAGTCCATAGGCAAGCAATAGCCGTTTGTTTTTAGAATGAATAAATATATGTTGGTTTACTGATGAATGGAATGCTAAACATAACTGAGGGATATGCATGTCATTAACATTAGTTCCAGACTGGAGAGGGGGTCATTTTAACTTTTTACATCTGGTGTATGACATACTCAAGATCAGCAGAGACCTTACTGGTGACAATTGCTAGATTTTGTGCTGCTGTGGTGAGATATGGAGGTCAGAAGTCATAGTAGGCCATTCGTGACCAAATGAGGACGCTGCTTATGTTCCCCATACTGACCATGCTACAGGGTTAACAGGGCATAAGCTGTTTCTCCTCTCCAGCATAGCAGGCTGCAGGATTCCCAGGGGAACATTGGGTGATCCCATTTGCAGTTTTAAATCGTTGCATTTTCAGGGACAAGACACATTCCCCATGCCTTGGTGTAGGTTTGTGGAACTCAGCTCAAGAAACAGCCTTACCGAAGGCATTTTCTCACATGACACAACAAGCATGTTATGGGGAGGGGGCGAGGGGGCCTTCTGCTCTGTGTGAGTACATCTGAATGCGCTTTAGGGAGGGGAGAAACAAAGAGAAAAGTTGACATTCTAGCCAAGTAAATGTTACCTCAGAATGATAGGAATTCCATTTTTTAAATGTAAATGTCAAGGGGAATATGCCCTTTGAATGCACAGTGTCATGAAACAGTCCTTAATGGACATGATTTTGAATCTTACAGTGGGAGCTATCCAGCCACTTCAGTTGTACTAGGAGCAAACAGTGAATGGGACAGGTCTCAAACAGGGGCACTCAGAACAACGGCAGGATAGTCAGCAGAACACGGTGTATACTTTTTTAGCGTCATGGCCAAATTTGTACACCTTGCCTTCTCCTGACACAAGCATTCGGTGATGGAAGCAGCCAGAAAGTCCATAGATAAGAAACAGGTGAAAGGGGACAAGGAGAAAGAGGAAGGTGCTGAGTAATGCTAGCTGTGTCCTCAACTGGAGGTGTGTCTAAGGTTATACCTCCAGGTGTTCATAATCTTGGCAAATGAAAGGGGAAGTCAGCCCTTTGTGAAGCAGGCTCTGAGTGTGTGAAGATGGTTACGAAGGTCTCTTGAGAAACACAGAGAATTCTCCTTTGGACTTGGATGTTATTTCCTGACCAGCTTTTCCACTTTCGTTTGTGTGTCTTCTTCTAATTAGCTCACTAAGAGGGGAAAATGCCGCAGCCGGGAGAGGCACCCCCTCAGGTCTCCAGAGTCCAGGATCGAGGATGGGCATGGGTGGTCTTAGCAGCTACAGTGCTGGTGCAAGGCCTCACCCTCGGCTTTCCTTCCTGTATTGGGGTCTTCTTCAAGGACCTGCAATCTGATTTCCAAGCTAGCAACAGTGAGACATCGTGGTTCCCTTCCATCATGACAGCAGTGCTCCATGCAGGTGGTGAGTGTTTCCACTGAGAACCCTTTTTCCTTAAAAGTGCTACGATGATGTGTGGATCATAGCAACCTGTCAGACAATGAAAACGCATGTAGATTTCTTTAGCGTGCTTCTGAGAAGGGCAAGGAAAAGTAAATGAGCAGCCAGCTGTTAGCAAATAATATTCACCTAAGGAAGGCTACTGTTTTGTCTGTTCAAGCCTGAAGCTCAACGGTCTTCTTCTGTGCGGCTGAGGGCACGAGGGCATTGCAGAAACGACATTCCTCTGAACCACTAGTGCCGGTCGGTCTCTCTCAACCCACCGCCTGCAACCCCGTCATCTGTCAAGAAGGCTATTCGAATGTGCTTGTGTCACCCCGACCGACCCTCCCTCGAGACATCACCGCTTGTTTCGAGTTAGGAAGGAACAAGATAAGATCATAGATTTCGAGGGATCTTACATAGTAGTAAATTGATCTGTAACCATTAGTGCTGAACTGAATAAATGGATACTGAGAATAGTAGTTTAAAATAATTCCAACAAGACAGAATGAGGAAAAGAGGTTACAGCTGAAAAAAATGTGGCTATTACAGGATGAAGAGTGGGTAGGGTTTATTTGTTTTCTTTATATATGTTTTATACGTTTTATATGGTTTTTAATAATATTTTGTAAGCTGCCCAGAGTAGTGGCATGTTCACTAAATGGACAGGGTATAAATATAAATAAAATAAAATAAAGAAGATTTTTCATAGAAAAAAAGGTTTGAATCCAGTGTATAATTCCTGCAGTTCCCTCTGTTCTTCCCATTCATGGCACGCCAGGTACAGTGTTGATCCTCTGTGTAAAAAGCATGCTGCTGCAACTTGATATTTGCTCTTTAAAATATTTTTGATACCCCATCTCCACCAAAGGAATGCATGGAACTTATATTATAGATAACAGATAAGATCCATTTACTACATTGGCCCAAATCATGTTGTGTTGCTATACGAGCGCAAGTAGGAAATACATCACTGGTGCTGCACAACTTTGTCATGCTGCGTGTGAGTGATGTGTCCTCTGTAATCTAAGCAACAGCTCTTTAATTAGCAGTCATTCCTGTTATGCCAGCGGAACTACATAGTAGGATACTGATGATCACAGTTTTACCCACTATTATCAGTAGAATTCACCTGCTGTTAGAGGATGCTGTATCTCCCAGTTACAGTCACAGGACGTCCCGTACACCTAAGGACTCTGTCAGCCCTTGGTCCGGCCCTGTTGGGCACACCTAGCTACTATGGTAGTTCCTTTATATCTTGGGAAAAAGAAGGAAATTTCCTGCGTGGAAGGAGTCATAAAGAGAGAGGGAAACGATACTGCTGAGAAACAGGAGCTGCACGTCAATCATTCTGGCTGCAGACACAGCAACTTAATCCAGTAAACAACAGCGAAAATCCTGGAAGGAGCTGACCTTTCAGGATATTATGATCATGATGAATCTGTGTTGATGACCTGTAGTAGCTATACTCAGAGTAAACTTGCCTTGTCCTATATAAGTAGCGTCACAGCCCACGTGAGTAGGAGGCTTACATGAACTAGTGATAAGGATGAAGAGAGATTTAAACAACTGCAATGACTAATTACATAAATAGGTAGTGCTGAACTGAACAGCAGGCAATGGGGACCTTGGGTTTCTCCAAACAGTGATCTGGTTAGGACTGGCAAGGCTTTTTGGCCTTGAACACCTGGCAGTGGAAAGCACAGTGCCCTGCCAGAGGAAAAGTTGTGAGCCATGTGCTCCAGTCAGTTTTCAGAGAGAAGGGGTTATTTAAAGGACAAACTGAACTGTCACACTGTAGAAGAAGACGCATGTCCTCGCCCTGCATTAACAGGGGGTCACACCTGTTTTGAAAAAGAGGCTGGCTTGCTCCTGTTTCTTTAACAGGCAGGGCAGAGAGATTGGGTGCTTAGAAATCAGCAAACCTCCGTGCTGTAAAAAGCTTCACCTAGAAATTTCTGCACATTAAATTACTATTAAAAGGCATTGAAAAATTAAATTGCTATTTAAGGGCCAATTTTAGTTTGAAGAGGGTGCAATCCTATGCTAATCTATTGTCCATGATTAACAGTGAGTCCGTTCGTACCTGGTGCCAAGTATTTTGTGATCATCTTCTCATTTTTATTTGGTCCAAATGTCAGAAGCAGCTCACTTTCCCCATCTGCAAAAAGCAAACTATGTTTGGGAGGTACATTAAAAATGCTGCAGGGGGTTATTATAATGCTCTGGAGACTTCAACCAGGCCTTTCATTCTGCACGAAAATCATATTGGCTGCCTTAAAACTTAAGGCTCATCTATTAAATCAGCAGTTTCCAGTCTTGGTGCTCCCAGGGTGCTGTTGGACCACTTCCTGGAAACCCAAGACAGCACAGACAATGGTCGGAGATCCTGACAGTTGTCATCTCACAACACCTGAGAACCCAAGGTTAAGAACTTTTGTATCAGGCTCTACCATCTCTCCTTAAGAGAGCCAGCATGGTGTGGTGGGTGGAGTATCATGGTAGGACTCCAGAGACCTGGATTCAAATCCTTGCTTAGCCATGGAAAGCTGGCTGTGTGTTGGCAGTGGTAAGCCATTCCTTGAACATGCTGCATACCTTGAAAGTCTAACTATCTACCTAAACTACATAAGACAGAAGCTACTTGATCACACCCAATAACAGTACCTCCCATTATACAGTACTTGGATATAGCTTTATGTTTCTGTAGGGCTGCCAACTTCTGTTGCTTGTTTAACTGCTGTGCATTGAACAACAGTGTCAAAGCAGAATGATGAAACGTGCATTCACTGACATTTAAAAGCGACTAAGTTAAAATAATGTGATTAATTCTTTCATGCCTTGATGCATCATCCTTGTCAGGGGAACGAACCCACACATTTTTTTTCCTGTTCTTTGTGCCTCCATATATGGAAACTAGATCTAATGACTTATCTTTCAGCTCCTGGGTCCTGGTTCAAATACTCACTCAGACACTGGGCGACCTTGAACCAGTGTTTATCTCTCAGTCTCACAGGGTTGTTGTAAATATAGCATTGGGTTGGGGAGTCGGTGCCACTCAGAGCTCAACAAATGACATTAAAGTGTGATACATGTGCACAGTTTTAACTATTTTATCATTTATCTTAGTTGAAATGTTGGTTTCTAGCTACCTATGAGCAAAGGTGAGGGGGAAATGGCCCACCCTTCCCCAAAATATCCTCCATGACTAATTTTTATTACATGTTGTATTGGGTGTTTCTGCCATGTTCACTCTACAAGCAGCCTGAGATAAGGGAAATGGAGCAGGGTGCCGCCTTGAGCCAAGCCTTCTGTTTCATACGCACCAGCGCTGAGTAAACATGAGGCAGAAGGAAACGAACTGTCATATTTAAAGCTGCACAGGAGGCTTGTCTTTGCATTTTGCCGGCTGAGGCTGCCCAGCTGAGCTGACAGCCTCATGGGGCTCCTGAAGAAGTAACTGTACAGTATCGTCTGTATAGGATGGGTGGGGTGGGGTGGGGAAGAAAGGCTGCTCCTATGCCTTTATTTCAGAAGTTTACCATACAGCTATGTTTATTGCTTTGAGCACTTCTAGCAATTTCTCCTTATCAAATCTCTACTAAAGGCACAGGACTAGGCAAATAAATAACGCTAGATTTTTAGGCCTGCTGCCAGCTTTCTGTTCTTCCTTCACACAAGTCGTATTAGGTAAGAATTCATTGTAAATGTTTCTGTCAAAGAGTTGGGTTAAAGATTTTTCTAAATCTGTGTTATAAACAATCAGCAGTACATTTGAGATCCTTTTCACCTTCTGTCTGGTGGAACCTGTTTGTTTGTTTTGTAAGCTGCATTACAAACTTCTGTTAAAGGCATAAGGCTCCTGTCAATGAGTTGGGTATCAGATATGTCTTGACAACTGTAAGATCTTTTAGTCATAGGCCGTGCTTCCACCAACTCCTCTCACTGTTCAAATGCAGGAGGAAGACAACGGAATTTGAAATAATTTTATATTCATTATTAATACCCCAGGTCCTTTGAAGATTTTGACAGAGTGATCAATCCATTACCCTTCTAGTCTCTCGTTTGGGTGTCAAGGATCAATTGAGTATCAGAGCCCAGCCCCAGAATCATGCAGCTTACTTATAAAAAGATCTCTTCCCAAGCTTGCTCAATTTACAGCTGCCAGTTGCGTGAGTGTGGGTCAGTCGTAGCTGGAAGGCCCCACAACATCCTCATGCACTCCTTTTTTTATGAGATTGATCCAGTTACAAACCAAAGGAGTCTGTATGAGTCATAACTAGCACTTTTGTCACCTGGGGCATTGCTGCCCTATTGGTTAAGCTTGGGTCATGTGAAATTGACAGTCGCCGAGAGAGAATGGAAGAAACGGGAGGAATGCCAGGGTCTGAGCATGTGATGCCTGGCCTGCCTGTTTTGTCTTTCTTTCTGCCCAGGGAGGAGATCTAAATGCTCAGGGTACACAGATTCATGCCCTCATAGCAACAATTCTGTTGTATACTCTAAATTTTGACACCTTGGGTCAAAGCCCTGGTTGCTCTGCCTACACTGCGGCTTTGCGCCTAAACTCGGAGACATAGGCCGGCACACTCACAAATACTGTACCAGTTTTGATGGTCATCGGCAGTTGAACCGAACTGAATCTTGCTGTTGGCAAAGCGATGAAAGTTAGATGAGATTTCCAAAGGAATGTGTTTCGACAGAAGTTGATTGGGGATGAAATTTATTTCCTCACCTTCTTTGCAGAAACCAATAGAGCAGAACAAGGCCATACATGACCAGTAAGTGAAGCCAGTTAGAATGTCAGAAAAGCAACAAAGATACACTCTGTATCCACACCTCGTGCTTACCTGTTGAAACTTGCTGGAAAAGTTATGTCCTGAGGGGGAAACTGAATGGAGAAGCAACTGCTTCTCTCTGAGGAAATGTTCATGACTCGAGGGGCTGCAATATCTTCATATGTGCCATAAATACAATGGGCTCAGGAGGTTCATGGTTTAGTCACCATGATTACCCATCGTTTCTCTAGTTTCTAGGACAAGTCACAGCCTAAACACTTTCTGCCTCAAAACCTTGTTACCTTAGTTTTATGCTTCTGACAAGCTGATTTGAATCTACTGTGTTCAGATGACTTTCCAGCTACAGCCCAAGAGCTCAGACAGTTCTCAAACATATCAGTTCATATTTTTTTTTCTTACGCCTAGAGCTGCCTAGAGTGGACAAGTAGTCCAGATAGGCGGGGTATAAATCAAATCAAATAAATAAATACGCCTCCCATGCATTCACTATATTGTATATCCTGGCTCTATGTTAAAGGGGGCCATGAAGACAGTCCTCCTTTGGAAGGTCTGTTCCATTTGAAGGACTCTCTTGTCCCAGTTTGATTTAAACCCAAAGAGTTGAAAGGGCCCATCACTACTGTCAACCTGGACAGCAGACTCAGCAGGCAGACAGGTTACCTGATCACAGACCTCCCCACTCAGGCAAGGTGCACTTTATCATTCTGCTTCAAGGATACAAAAAAAAAACCATTTCAAATTATGTATCTGTACACATATGCAACTTTATCCAAATCAGGGTCCTCTTTTGCCCTCCTTTTTTCATGACAAGTAAATAGCCCCCCCCCCAATTAGTGTTCCTGGCTAGGCAGGCCTCCTGACTCTCTAGGCACTACGTGCAGCCTTTAAGTGGGGCAGAGCTCTTCATGTGGGCTTTGCAGAAGCAGGGGGTGGGGTGGTGGGGTTGTAGAGGGAGAAAGAAAAAACCTCCCCCAATTCATCTTGGTCAAAAGTTGAGGTGAGGCTATTATGAGTATTGAATTTGGGAATTAACTCTTTGTGTATAGTAAAAGGTTTGAGTGGCAAATATATCTAATCAGCCCCCTCTAGTTTGTTTAAAATAAAATGATATTGAGGAGGTCCTAAAAGGAGAGGCAAACCACACACACTGATATACAGTAATTGTTGATATATGGCATGGGAAGCCCTGAAAATTATCTCCTTGTCCTTTAAAATTCTCTTTCATCATGAAAACTGTTGTTACTCACTGTGCACCTAGAGCCCATGGTTTGATACTGGTGTTTACTTTTCAGGACCCCTTTGTAGCATCTTGGTGGAGCGATTTGGCTGTAGGCTCACTGTCATGCTGGGAGGCCTCCTCAGTGGAGTGGGCATGGTGGCCAGTGTTTTCTCCAAATCTATTAGCCAGCTTTATCTAACGGCTGGATTCATCACTGGTAAGTATATCGAAATTGATCGGTATATATGAGTTTCATTTGCTTCTGTATCACACAGTTTCTCTTCCCTTAATAATGGACATCCAAGCAGTATGTGGTGTAAGAAGCATAATTGCTGACAGTGCAACCTATGCCTGTTTCCCTAAAAGTACGCCTTATTGAATTTGATGGGACCTATTTCCAGGAAAATGTTTACAGGACCAGAGCCTCAGGGTATAGGTTATAAGCCCATGGAATCAGTGGGGATTTGGTGAGTCAGCTCCTCTGTAAGTTCCATTGATCCAGTGGGCCTGTTCTACCTGTGGCTTACTGCTAGCTTTCATTATCTCAACTCCAAGAAAGCATTAGGCAAACTAGCATTATCTCATGCCAACTATCTGCAGCACGGGGATGGTTCTCATGCATTATCCTGGATACTATTTGAGATTTCGGTAGGAGATCAAATTGGCTTCTAGGAGCAGGTGGGATAAGAATCCCAATAAGGACTAAAGAATTTAGCTGTTACGTGTATTCATAATTGAATTAGCATTAAACAAGAAAAGTTAAAGATTATTTGCTGAGGTTCCTTCTTAAGTGTCTCATAATTATGGGAATATTATTAAACATTGCATTATCTCATTCATTTTTTTTCTGTCTTTTTCTCTCACATAAGCTTTTTTAAAAAGCCAAATAAATGGCATAGTTAGAACAGAGGCCATTTAATTTTTGATTGTGATAGGTTTTTTTGTTGTAGAACCAGTGAACTGCTGGTGTAAACTACAGATGCTCCTTAATAATAGTTTCATATGGTCCAAAACTCAGGCTGGGAAAAGGAAGAAGACTGCATCTCAGTGCTGCCTACTCTAGTGATGTTCTTGGCTTTACCACAAGGGTTTCAATATACTTTAAGAACCTTCAAGATCCCCCATTTGATGCAGGAGCCCTACGAGAATGCAGGCTGTAACTCTTCCCCATCATTACTGGGTTCCTAGCTGCTAGGGCCATTTCCCTGCTTGGCAGCCATCCTCGTGGTGATGAGCCTCTCTATACTTTGCACATGTATTCCTTGAATAGCAGACAAGCCCTCTTTCCCTGGGGCAATAATCAGAGCCTTACCAGCTTATCAGAACCTGACAAATCTTGCAGTTTGTTGCCACAGCCATCAAGAGCTCAAGGTCATCCTCCACACCTTGGTAAAGTAGCAGAGCAGGATTTTGTGGAGAAAGATAATTTAATATTTGAAATACAGTATGGTTGGCAAATAGTATCAAACATCTCCCTGCCTACGACTCCAGCATTGCAAGTTCATGTTCTTTCTCTTTCTTCTTCCCTAAAAGGCTTGGGATCATGTTTTAGCTTCCAGGCTGGAATCACTGTGCTGGGGTACTATTTTATACGCCGGCGAGCATTGGCCAATGCTGTGGCTTCCACAGGCGTCTCCATTGGCCTGACACTGTGGCCCCTGATCTCTCAATACTTACTTGATGAGATGGGTTGGAGAAACACTTTCCTCATCTTTGGGGGACTGCTATTGAACTGCTGCGTCTGTGGGGCTGTGATGAGGCCAATCCCACTCCCACCGCCTGCTTCATCCTCACCGTCCTCCTCTAGCCCATCAGCTGAAGGGGCACCTCTGTCCAATGGCAACCCCTTGCAACATAAGGAGCAACCACATCTGTCCAGGTCGGCGGCTTGCTTCCAAACCCTGCAGAAATATCTGGCATTTGACATCTTCTGCAAGAACAAAGGCTACCAAATCTACACCATTGGAGTGTCCTGGATGGTGATGGGCTTTGTGCTACCCCTCATCTACCTGGTGCCCTATGCTATCTTGAATGGAGTGGAGGAACGGAAGGCAGCACTCCTCATCTCTATCATTGGGTTCATCAACATATTTATGCGGCCCATGGCGGGCCTCCTCTCAGGCCTCAATGTCTTCACTGGCCGGCGGATCTACCTCTTTAGTGCGGCTGTCATGCTCAATGGCTTGAGCAACCTCATCTGTGCCGCCTCTGCTGAGTACAGTATTCTTGTCCTCTACTGCCTAATCTACAGTGTCTCCATGAGCGTTGTTGGGGCACTGATCTTCCAGGTATTAATGGATGTGGTAGAAATGAACAGGTTCTCCAGTGCCTTGGGTCTCTTCACCATCCTGGAAAGCATCACCATTCTCATTGGACCCCCTCTTGCAGGTAAGATGCAAACAGGATTTTAGCATTTGGTCTAGAATTCCCTGCAGGCAAAGGATTCCAGTATTTAAGATGGCTGGCAGCAGGTCCCTAGCATTTCCAGGAGTGAGCACGGATGACAAAGGAAGGAGCTTGATGGTCAGTCTATCGTTCAACCTTCCTTTTTCCAACTCACAACATTTTTATTGCACTGCCTGCTTTCCCACCTAAGATTCACTCTCATATACACATAATTTAGACTTCCCCAGGTGTCAGCAAACAACACCAAAGTTAACTCAGCCGTTGTTGACAAGATATGGGAAAGGGATACCTTGGGCTTCTTTGGAAATAGAGGGCAATGGGTTGCATCAGTTTTTCCATGAGCAGAAGGGCCTTCAATCCAGAAGGAAGCCTTTGCTAATAAGAGTGCTGGGGGGAAGCAGTTTTTGCAAATTCTTACTTCCCCCAGAAATCCCCTGCAAGATTTCCCACACTCTTCCAAAAGATATTTGAACCCTTTTGTGTAGATTTTGAAGCACTGCTAGGTGTAGTCATTGAAAATTGCCTTTCTCCTTCCCATTAGTGGGTACCGGACTCTACTGGTGGGTGTTTTTGCAGCATGCTTACATTTTGTGTTTCAGAACATTTGAGCAAGTGCAGAACAAGCACAATATCTTGTCAAACCACCTTGAGAAGCACAAGTAACCATTTAGGCTTCCTGTGGATAGTTCCGTCTTGTTCTTGCTGCTGGCTAGTATAGCTCTCATTGCGTCTGCAAGGATTGCATATAGTCTCTTGAAGTGGGGAATGAAGTGCTGGGGCCACTGCCACACATGCCCTTACTGGGCACAGAACTGGTGATGGGAGTGGCAGTAGTACTGACATCTCACCCCCCTCCCCCATATGCCACCAAAAGGATCCCTTATTTTTTTCCTCCCCTGTTCTGCTTCAATCAAGGCTTCTTCAATAATGTTCTGCTGTAAGGGCTTATTGTGGCCAATCTTTAAATTTAGGTAGGCAATTGAATGAGTCCAGTATCCAGAAAGGAGCTGGAGTTTTTAGAACCTATGAAACAAGCAAATGTAACAAGTTCCACATACTTTATAATGTTTCACCACAAGGAGGCACTGACATTTCTGCAAATTTTCACACTGGCTGGGGTCACACACTTCTCAGGTGGCCTGCAAGTACCTGTCAGGCACTTTCGAATGCTTTTTAGTGCCTGAAAACCTTGCCACCACTCCTTAGTGCCACTAGCACAGGCATTAAGTCGAAAGAACTACCACCCCACAAATCCACATCCAAGTATTTTGGGATTGTTCTTTCTATAGTGTCCCAATCAGAGCTTCCTTTGCCCTAAGCAGGTATCTGGATAATTCAGGTGATTAGTGTAAGGCCTTTTTCATTCCAATGAATAGTATTTTTGACTATTAGTGCCCTGGCTTATTTAGTCTTAGTTACACATAAATAATGAAGAGATTTTGATTTAAACAGATAAATAGGATTTTTATTGAAGGATCACAGGTAAGAGAGGTGACAGTAAAGGTAGGTTCTAAGGTATGAATGATAAAGTAACAGTACAGTATAAATATTTCTTCTGTATTTAAAGACCAAAACAACTTCTTAACAGACTGTCAATTTTTGACACGCATTCTAAGCTCTAAATACAGACTTCTTTTAATAAACTTTAACACATATTACTTTCCCTTGACAAACTCTACAACAGACTTTCTACTCTAACTTTCTGATCTCTCTCTCAAAATTGTTACCTCTTAAACTGACGCAGTGGCCCCACTCCCACAACATACCAATTATGGTCATCAATCTGCATTCAGTCCTTCAGCTGCCATTCATGCTAGCACTCCACCCATACATACTCACTATACAGGAATACAATACTATTCTCATACAACCTTTATATACAGTATTTGCTTATAGATGTGTATGTATATAACGGCTCAAACTGGGTGGAATCGCCCCACACTTCCTTTTTCTTTTTTTTAAACATGGAATTGATTCATTGCTGAGCAAAGTATGACTCAGCAGATAAAAGCTGGGTTTTATAACTAATAGACCAGAGGCTGGAGAAAGGAAGCATGGTATCAAATTGTTTGCATGAAATGAAGACAGATGCTCAAACGTGCATCGGTCTAGCACCAAGAGTGGGTTCTGCACTTGGAACTGTAGAGGCAGATTGTTGGGCCTTATCACTTTCCTTCACACTCTGTGGCAAATGTAAGAAGGTTCAGCCTCAAGCACGTGAGGCCTTACAGATTTGGTTGCTGTTTCTGTCAGCTTTAGCAAATGTGAACTATGCTGATGGGGGTTGCAATCCAACGGATTTGGAGGTTCCATTAAAAGTGTCAGAATGAGGTTTATATTGGAATTAAACTGTGTATGTACTGTATATCAAAATACACAGACAGGAAATGCGTGGTCATCAAGATGTGGCTTGCAACTCCTATCAGCCCTAGCCACCAATGATAAGAGGCAGATGGGAGTTGCAGTCCAGAAACACATGGGAGGCCACAAGTTGTCCATCTCTGTCATCAAGACTGGGAAAGGGGGGACATTAGAGGCAGCTGTGTCCTCTGCGTGATCCTTTGTTCATGGTAACTCACATTTAAACAGGCAGAGGTCCTTTTTAAACCTTGAGTACTGTATTTTAGTGTTTATTGCCCTGAGTTTTGTACCTTTTGTTTTTTAGGTCTTCTGGTGGACTTGACAGGCCACTTTAGTTACGTCTTCTATGCTTCCAGCTTCTTCATGGTATCAGCTGCTCTCTTCATGGGGGTTAGCTTCTGCACCATGGAGGCAAAGAACAAACTGAAAGGAACTCACAAGCCCGTCCCTGAGAACCCAGCCAGAGATAAATACGCAGAAGTGCCAACTGAGCCGGAATCTGACAAAAATGGCTCTCCTGCAGCCGTCTATGTAACAAGCATCTGACTCTCAAGGACCTGCAGGAACACTGTATTCCTAGCAAATGCAAAGCCAAAGAGAAACGCAAGTGCCTCCTTTCCCTGGTGTGCATCACCTCACCATGGCAACCGTGGGCACCAGTTTCTAGAGGAAGGATCTCAATCCGAAGACATGATCATTCCAGAAACCCAAAGAGCACTTTAAACAAAATAGATGTGAAGTAAGCCACAGGGGGGAAGAGGAATACTGGCCTGTGACTGTATCTGCATTACTTGAAGTTAAGCCATTTTAATGACTATCAGGTTATCCATGCATATTCCATTATATAAAAATCGAAGGACATATTCACCTGTGGGGTTGTGAATTACAGCAGTCTTCTGATAAGGAGCCGAGTGGAGCAAGCAAGGGACAGCTCTTCAGGATATTGCAATGTTTCTGGCCAAACCATTTTGCTGTGGCTCAACTCACAGTGAAGTCAACTGGCTGACTTCTCAAGCACAAAGGGGGGGGGTGTTTCTTCTTTAGGGAGTGTTATTGCCAGGCTCCTTGAATGTTACACAGACATTTTTGCTGTATCATAAAAGGCCAGTTAATATATGCTGATATCACTTGTTCTTTGCAGCCACATCAGTGATGGGTGAGGTTGTATGCATTACTAAACAAAGCAAGTCATTTCTACATTTCAAGAGAGCCAAGTCTAGTTTTTTGGGACTCTTGTGAGGAGCAACCCAAATAACAGAAAGTACTCAAATCCAAAGCAAACTGTTGATGGTAAAATGCTGTTAGCTCCAAAGGACCGGCCCATTTGTCTAGCCAATAGTGTCTTAAACTCCTGTTCCCATTTGAAATGGGTGCTGCAGTAAAGGGTCAAAAAGACAGCAATAGACCATAGCAACTGTGCAAACGTGTGCATAGAAGGATGTTTGATTAACATTGTAAGCATCTGGACAAAGCCTATGTAGGATAAATGTGTATGCTAAGTAAGTGTAACAGATTACATGTTGGTAAAGGGACATCTATATGTATATATAATTAGGTGAAGCAGAAATAAGAAACATTCAGCCCTTCAGAGGTTGAAGCAACACATCAAAATCAGAATTATCTCTGTTCCGGATGGGAGGTCTCATTTTTAAATGGCATACAGAAATGCACATTTAGCAAAAAGGTACTGTTCTAAATGGGTTGTTTTGTGGCAATACTAGCCCTGGAAATTAACCAGGATGCCTACTGAGTTTTCTGAGAAATTGCAGCTACCATTGCCAAATCCTCTGAATTTGATCCACTGGGCCTGGGTTTGTCAACACAACAATGTCTGAACTGGAACGTACTTGTGCTTTAATTGAGACTGACTTGCTTTTTTAAAAATAGTTCCAAATCCTCATCTTACATTCTGTTTTTCCAGGTCTAGTATCTCACTAAACATTGATCTTAAACCTTATAGAATAATCCAAGTCCGGAACAATTTTGAGTGTTGATACATTGGCTGTGCCTTGGCCAACATTTCCTCTTTCAGCAAGAGAAAGCTTTGGCAATGTCATTTGATATATCAAGGAACAACCAAATGGCACCCTCCCCATAACTAAATTAACAAGCAGCATAATCTACTTTTCCTACATAAACTTCGGTGACAGCTGCATAAAAACTCAGTAATCCTGTTCATTTCAATGTGGCTTTGACAGAGGATTTCCCCTTGTGCAGCACTGTCATTCTTTCGCCTTTAATGGTGCCCAGAAACTGTCTCCTGAGGCAGCCACTTCACCTTAGCTCAGTACTAGGCATAGTAACAGTCAGAGAGCTGCAGAAGCAGGTCAGTTGCTCATACTTTTCTCCTTAAACAGCAGCTTCACAAAAGACAGGATAGTTTAAAATCTGTTTCAGTTTATGACCACCTACAGTGAACGGTCATGCATAGAAGCTGCTAGAATTGGCTGAAATGCCACCACTATCGCCACCACCTTGAAGGCAAAGGAGCAACATGGGAATGAATGCGAGTTGCAAGCAATGGACTTCGAAGTGCGTTTTTGCACAAATAAGCAATGGCCCCCTAGTGTTCCTACTGGTTCCTAAGAGCTACACATATCAGCCACAAGCATCAGGATGAGTTTTGTGCTTCCGTTCTTTTTCTCTTTAGGTGCATGCGTGGGATTTGCCATATCTAAAGAATGGCTGAAATGTACATTCAACACTAGTGCACACAAAATAGTTTGGAAAAGCCCTGTCTTGGAAAGCCAAGCCTGCAAGCTTTACATGACTATTTAGGGTTTGGGGGGGAACACTCAGGACACCTCTGAGTCTCTCTCCTGTTGTGTATGTAAATATCTGTGAATGTTGTTACCATAGGATAGGAAGTAGAACAGAGGCATTTAAAAAATTAAATATAGTCATCATGCTTAAGTATGAAATGGGACGTACAAAAACATATTTGTAGCCCAGTTATGTGCAGCTAAGCTGCTCTAGGTTAGGTAGCTTTTTTAAGACTTTTGGACAGATTCATGAAGGATTCTTTTGTAACTTTTTTTAAAAATCCACAATTAAGTAGCACTTCTCTGTTGAGAGTTCAGCAGGATTTCCTAGCAACATGCATTCCCTGCATATTGCAATCTTAGGCAATATTATCAAAAGTGGCTCAAATGAGTTATTTCTAAGCTAAACCAATTGATGCCCTCTTTATCTTGTTGTCTCTGTTGCAAGCTAGCACTATGGGTATCAAAATCCCAGTTGCAAGAAGATCTCTCTCCCGTGGGTTAGTAGCCTTCACAAAGCATCTCTAGAGATGCTTCTTTCACAGTCAGGTTGTTTTTCTTAAATGGATAATTGTGCACCATACGTCCAGTGAATAAACACCACAAACGAAACATATACTGTACGCAGATCTTTTTTATTCAGTTCCCACCCACCCCTTCTTTGCTCAATTGAAAACAGACTCTAAAAATATCTCACGGGCAACCAGGTGTGCAAGGTATCCATCAAAGGAAATAACAAAGATAAAATAACACCATGAAAAAAGTGCAAATTAATGGTTGTTATCATTAACTACCTCCTGCAGCAGTGGTATTTGATACTGAATTAGACTCTTCCCATTAAGGTGGGAATCACACTGTAGTTAACAGCAGATTGGGAAATTTGTGCTAATGTAGAACCTAATCCTAAATCTATTTGAAATGATTTTTTTTCAGGACTGTGGCCAGTGATTGCTGCATTATTTGCTGGAAAAGTTATGTGTAGTCTTTTCTTTCTTTCTTTTTTAAACATGTGTAATATATTAAGAGAAATGCACTTAGTAACTTTTGTAAAGTTGAAAGCACTTAAGCAAAATTGGCAGACGCAAGCATTTGGAATTGTAACGCACACAAAGCTTTATGCTTCTTTCAGGTTTAGGGAGTATATTATGAGCTTTCCGTTTTCAGAATATATGACATAAGAAAGGACCAACTCTGTTTTGTTCTACCTTTTTCTTAATAAAGAAGTCAGATAGCAAGATGTGTTTTGTTTGAGGCATTATATTTCTGTACCACAGGAGCTCTGTATTTTAGATTTCTCACCATTTCTCCATCCACTCATTTCCCTGCTCCCATCAGGAATGTGTTTGGGGACTCCCTTTTGCTTGTCTTCCTGACAGAGTTCTGATGGGGGAGAAGCAAGGCATGGGGAGGCTTCCACAGAGACTGGAAGGAGTATCCAATGTCTGAGGTTCCCTCTCAAGGCATGGGGAGGCTTCCACAGAGACTGGGAGTATCCAATGTCTGAGGTTCCCTCTTCAATGCTGGATCTTCAGCACTTTTTGCCAACACAAAATAATTGTGCTGTGTATAAAACCCAAGATTTCCTTGATGCTATTCCATAGACAGGTCATTCCACCAGTTAATAATCTAGTCCATAGGTCATATACTGTATCTGTAGGCCAGTTCAGTCCACAGGCCTTTTGCCCAGTGTACCCTTACACCTAAAAGTAGGACCTAATTAACAACCAATACTACAGATTTTAGCTTGAATGTCTTGCTGCCAGGAACTAAGCTTCTGGAGCTTTTTTATCTTACGAAATGGGAGAAACCCCTCATTAAAAGATTGGGTTCCCAGTGATAATATAGCTTCTTAAATATCTCACGTATCTTGAAAACTCGTTAGTTACTATAGCTGAACTGAACTTGACAATACATAACAATCCAAGAGGGAGGCGGGCTCTATCCCACGTTTTCTCCCTGATGGTTCTTTTAAGAAACTACAGAGCACAGAAACCTAGTGCCTCTTCCCATTCTAGACTTCCTTATTCTGTTTACAGTCCCATTCCGAGCCACACTGTACTTGAAAGTCTGGGTTGTGCTTCTTGCATCTACTGAAGTGACCTGCTTCCAAAGCTTTTCCAGGCCCAGGCAAGACACTCAGGATGTCCTCTCACTCCCATGTCTCCCAATTAACACACAAACATTAGTAACGTCAACAGATTTATTGGAAACAAGATTAATAATGAATTAAAAAAGGCCATGGATTGGCCACAGAAGTGTAACATTGGCACAGCATAAGTACAATAGATCCTTCCATCCAAATCACTATCACCCCAGTGCACAACTGGATAACCAGGTATCAAACTGTGGGGAACTACAGCCACCTTCGTGAGCCAGGTGCATTCCTTATCAGTTCCACACCAAGGATAGGGCAAAATGCCTCTCTCTCTCTCAATGCGGATCTGCTCCGGTTCATAAAATCACCCACTGCCCGGCCAGCCTTCTGCCAACTATTGCTGCTGCAGCAGCAAGAAGCCTTCTAGGTGGAAACAGACTAAGCATGAGTGGGGGCCCATGCAGGTCTCATCGTTATGATCCAACTTGCAACGGTCCCTGTTGCATTTCCCCTGGTTGTAGCCCCAGCACACCCTGTGGGCCCTTTCAGACCAGCCCATTGGCCAGTCTGCTTGGTTTCGTCTTTGGCTGCATTTGGGGGGCCACAAAGACTAGCCACATCTCTGCTGAGAAGGTCCCAGTGCATAACAGCATTCTTGGAAGCAGCCCTACAAAATGCCTCATCCTATGCAATTGCTGCCAACTCTCTGGCAAGGAACTTGGCACAGGGTAAATTAGCAAGGTGGCTGGTCATGTGCCAAACCTCACTCGGGGGTAGGCTATCGTGACCAGACCCGCATAGACAGCACACCCTACCAACCAATTTTGAAATGAACACTCCAGTTTGTTCTCACAGGGTTTTTTCTTTTCTGTCTCAGTGTCCCTATATTTCCTCCAAGCCTCCTTATCTGGGAGCAACAATGAAAAGACATCTACATAGTGCCCATCTAAGATATGTTCCCTTACCAACCTATGCAAGTGTAACTGCGGGGTGGGTGGGTTCTTTATCATCCCAAACGTTAAGGGAGTGTGGACCAGTCTTCTCCCACACCTCTTTGTCTAACTGGTTGCCTGCCCATCTTCTTGCTCCTTCGCAAAGCCCAATGGGGCAGACCACGGACTCTAGCACCTCTAAGTGCTGTTGGTATTATCATTCCTCCAACTTCTTCTTCCTGTGTTCCCCTGCCTTTGGCCAACGTTCCGATGAGGTATCAGGGTTGGAATCTGAGGAAGAGACAGATTCTGTCTTCCAGGTTGCTGCATTGGCTCCTGGTGCTTTTAGGGTTGCCCCACCTCCTCTGCAGTCTTTGAACTAGGTTGTGAGGAATTCCCCCCCCAGGCTGTTGAACCAATTGGGAACTCAGATGCTCGGCTCTCTGGACTAAGACAGCTAAGGTGCCAGAGAGCCCCCTCATGAACCTCTCATCATATAGAGGCGGGGGGGGGAAGGACCCTTGCTGAGTGGCAGCAGCACTCCCCGTCACCTGCAGGCACCGGGCAGGCCTCCTTCCCTCCAACGCCTGACCCACCAGTGGTCCATTGCCATGGGGCAAAGGCTTCCCACGTTTTTCTACCCCTAATCACATAGCTCCTGGTCATTGGATGGGAAGACCCACCAGCAGCCTGCTTGCCTCTAGGAGGGGCCATGTCAGCCAAACTTAACAGATAAGTGGGGAGACACATATATAGTATGTGGGTTTGTGGTTATGGCGGGGGTGGGGGCAAGAATCCACAGTTCGGCTGTGTGTGCGTGTGCGTATGTGTGTGTGTGAGAGAGAGAGAGAAATCTACCATCCGACCCCTTCACTCTTATCTACAAAGCTATTCTCCGTACTGTTGTCGTTTTCCTTCTCTTTTCTCCCTGCTTTTTACGAACTGTCAGCTGCCCGGGAGGCCACCGCCGGGCCCTACACTCGACCCACGCAGTCTTCGCCCACACACGGCCTCGCCTTCTTCCCGGCGGTTGTCACTGAGTTACTACCGCCTGCCGGAGCCGCCGGCACTACGGTTGGAGCCGAGACCAACGCTACCGCCAGAGCAGGAGCCGCCGCCGCGCCCCCCCAAATCCTCCAAAGAAGCCTCCTCCGCCGTCGCCGACCCCCCCAATTAGTTGGACTTCGAAGCCCTAAAGGCCGGAGCCTCCGCGGTGAAGCACCCGCCATCTTGAGAAATAATCCACGTGGCGGCCGCTGGAGAAAGAGCGCCGAAAAAGCTTCTCAAGTCTTGAGCCTCATCCGGCTGCCCTCCCGGGATTGGACGACCAGTACCGCTTCCCTCTCCCCCCCACCGGAACTCCTCCCGCGCAAAGGCCGCCGGGAGGAAGAGGAGGACTTTCGGGCCCCGGATGTCGCTCCGTTCTCCGCCTCGCCGGGAAGCAAAGCCCTCTTTTCCCCTCCTAGAGGTAACACTTAGACGCAACGGTCGTCTCCAGAATACTGTACTTTTTAAAAAAAATGCTTCCAAACAGCAAAGTCAGGTTTTTGTTTGCCTTTGGAGGGACGGACTCGGCTCTGGAGGACCAAGGCCACCGGAGACGCCTCCCTTCCGCTCTAGGACTTCGGTTCACTCCTATCACTATGCTGCGGCAGGTGCCAGTCCTGAAGCTCTTCCGCCCTTTTCATAAGAGCTTCCGGTTTCTTGTCTCCAGGGCTGGTGTGCCGTTTCTTCGTAGTCCTATATTTTGCTGTAATCATCCTCGCACTGCGGAGCAGGAAGGGCCGATAAGGATCGTCGAGCCGAGTCCCTCTCAAGAAGACATGGGGAGGGAACTGAACCTCCAATCCAGATACCTCAGCCACTGAGCCATCGAGCGGCGCGGTCGAGTCAGACGTCGAAGAAAGGGCAGAGCATCCCAGCCGGGAAAGGTAATGGCTGCCGAAAGGAAAACCGATGCCTCTTTTATCCCCACAGTACATTTCTGCGTCGGCCGAATGGAAAAGACTACTTCCCGGCCGCTAAGGTTACTATCCTTTGATCTGGTGGCAAAAGCTTTTCGCGGAAAAGGTTCTCCAAAAAGCCTGGGCTTCCCGGTGAAACGGGCTGGCAGGTGCTTCAGATAATAAGAATAAGGAGGAGGAGGAGGAAATATGTTTCCTCGCCCCACATAGTGTGCAATTACTTTTTTTTTTAATTTCCTCTTAGAACATGCGACTGCAGCTATCGGTTTAAGCGGGGCTGTTGAGAATGAGATTTTTTTAAAACTAGAACTACTAGCTTGGGCGGCAGATTGTTGAAAAGTATTTCTACTTCGGTATTCTAGATACTGGAAACAAACCAGAAGGGGACACTGTCGTTCACACACCTGGGCTGCCCTATTCCAAGACTGCCGGGCCTAGAGAGGGAGGCACCTCACTGGACTGTGGTGTTGCAGGTGAAACAGACTACAACAAAGATTTGGCCTTAAAAGTTTGGCGATAACAGTTTTTATCAGATGTAGCACAGGTTTAATTCAAGTGGTAAATAATACTTATATGCTATCCAGCCAATTCTGATTTACAGCAACTCTTTTGACTGTTTTCTAAGTAGAACATACTCCAAAGCACTTTCCCATTTTCTGGGATTGGAGGGGGTCAAGTTGCCCAAGACTGAGGCAATCTGGCTCTTGTCCTTGGAGGCCCAGTGAGAAACATCTCTAGCTTCACAGCCAGACCCCTGACCTGGGTAGCTTCTGTTATCTATGGCCACTGTGATAGTTCATTGTTGCCACTCCCCAATGAGTTTCTATTGCCTGGTGGCAATGTGAACCCTGGTCTCTTGACTCCTTCTCCAACAGTTGATCTGTTACATCACAGCGGCTCTTATGAATCCAATCTAGGTCCGGTAGGTCCCCTGTATAAAAGCAGAATGTAATGAAGGGTCTTGCCTGTTCCAAAACCATTGGTGATTCCCACTAACTCGACAACCTACTATCTTGCTGGATTGTCAGTGTTACGGTTCTTCAAAGAAGGGATATTTATTAATTATATTTCTATTCCAAATTTCTACCACTGAGCTCCAAATGGCATACACAGCTCTCCTCTCCCCAAATTCATTCTCACAACCATGCTGGGAGTTTGGTCATATTGGAAGACTGACTAGCCTGTTTGCCATTGTATGCAGTCACAGTGCAGACCAAGTTGCTTTGCATCTCAGTTTGAAAGGATAGAATCCCATATATTTAAATTAAGGAGCTAATAGTCAAGAAAAAGAAATAGAAAATGTGTGTTAATTATTGTGTCATGATTTTAATTGTCTTGTTTTAGTTTATGTCTTACATTATATGTCTGTTTTTTTGTTACTGGTTTTTATTGATTATGACTCTGGTATCCATAATAAGAAATATTTTAATTTTTAATAGAATATATTTTAAATCAAATTGCTAATACATTTTAATATCTATTCATACATTTTTGCAAACATGTTGCACTATGTACAGAATAATATTTCACTTGAAATAGTATGTGAAGAATATTATTTTACATGAAACACTACCTTTTTATCCAGCACAATGTCTCAAAATCAGAAGGACCTGGTTGGTCTGGGTCGGCTTGAATATCTGCAAGCCTTAGTCACTGAATTCCAGGTGACAGAGAGCTCTGGTAAGTACCATTTATTGGTCACTTGTTGCCTTTGCACTGCATTAAATGGACATGCCTCTACTAACTCCTTTCTTAGTTTCAAGAGCTGCTTTGTTATGTTGCAAATGCCAAGGAGCAGGTGCTGGCCAATCTAGCTAACTTTGCTTATGACCCAAAGAACTATGAGCATTTCCGGCAGCTCAAAATTTTGGACCTCTTTCTAGACATGCTCACCGAGGACAATGAGACCCTTGTGGAATTTGCACTGGGTAAAGAATGCATTTAAAGTTATTAGTAACATGAGTTAAGAATGAATTTCAAACATTGTTGGGATATGGAGAACTGTAGATCCTTACATAAGTAATCACAATATTGTAGTCTGAGAACTATCTTGCATCAGTTGTGGACTCACAAAATGGCCTCCTTTAAGCCTCCCCTTTGCCTTTGATTCTCCCATTTAATACAGTGTGAATATAGTGTTAGGCATGTGTAAGGACTACTGAGGTAATTTGTGTGAAACATATTCAGCACAAAAGCACCATATGTAATGTTATAATTAAAATCTACCTACTTGACCAAAGCAAAATAATGTCTTTATAACTGGGGGAAAACTACTTATCTACATATTAAGCTAAAATAATATTCTAGGAGTGGAACAGGTATTAGTCTTCTTGAAAAAAATGAGACCCTGAAATAAGCACATTGATCTGCACATTGTGGAAAAAACTGTTTGCTTTATCATTGATTGTATTATTTGGTGACACTGGCCCAAACCTTATTGTGAAATACCACATAGGTAAGATGACTCGACAAACAGCTTTTCCAATTTTTGCCTGTTATTCATGTGACTAAGAATACAACTAGGGGCATTGATATAAAGTGGAGTGTCTCACATGTTGAGGCTGCTGCTTGAATGCTTTCAATGAAAAAAAGACATGTGGATGAAAACAAGGGTAATTATTGTAAAACTAGCTTCTTGCATAAACAAAAGTCTAGCCACTGAATGTTGCATTTTGAAACAGTATTCAAGGAGGCAGCTCCACAGTAATATAATAATAATCTAAACAGAAGTGGATTAAGGCACTTTGTTACTGCTTTCCATTTAAACCAGTGGTTCTTAACGTGGGCGATAATGCCCCCCAGGGGGCGATTTCATTTTTCAGGGGGGCGGTAGAACGCAAAGGGGCGGCGTGGGGGCGCTGGAGCAGAAGGGGAGCAGTAGGGGGGCGCTGGAGAAGCCAAACCTGTGAAGATGGCTGCAGCCTTTTTACAGTGTGCATGAATATATATTTCCCCCCAATTTTAATTTAGTTTCAGACTTTTTGTCTTGAAATTTTTAGTTCCTGCATTTGTTTTTATGCCCTTTTTATATTTCTTTTTGCGTCTTAAAATTCACTTGCAACTAAATCATTAAATGTTAGTTTCTGGGGGGCATTTCATTTTCTTGGAATTTAATTTTGTTTTCAGGGGTCATTGGATTTAAGTGTAATAAATAAATAAATAAATAAATAAATAAATAAAAGATATTATCACCGCAGGGAGGGGGGGCGATGATAACTTCCTCAATGGCTCAAGGGGGCGTTTCTTTCAAAAAGGTTAAGAACCACTGATTTAAACCATGTGCTTATTCCAGCATGCCACTGTCGGGACTCTTTAGCATGGGATTGTTTTCATAGCCAGCATTAATATTAACTGTTTGATCCTCTGGATGTTTACTGTGAATCCAATGGGTATGAATTTCTATTAAGTACTTTTAGGACCGGAGATTAAGAGGAAGCAATAGTGTTTTTATGTAGATACAAAACTCTGATGAATTTAGCAGCCATATCTTTGCATTTGCGTGCTGAAGATCTGAGCACATAGAGGAAATAATTAAAGAATCAAGATGTCATAAAATTACTTGAGATGTAAAGATGACACTGTTAATGAGACAATGAGAAACGCTGGTAGTAGCTTTACTGTCTCATTCTCCCGTTCTTATTTTAGGTGGCCTTTGCAATCTCTGTCTGGATAAAATCAACAAAGACTACATCTTGGAGGCAGACGGGGTCACTGCTGTAGTCAACTGCCTCTCCAGCTCCAATGAGGAGACTGTTTTGTCTGCAGTTACTACCCTGATGTACTTGATCACCCCCCAGTCTCGGCAGCAGATCACAGCTCTTCCTGTGGTCGAGTGCATGCAGAGGTTCTCCCTGTCAGCCAACAGGAGGCTACGGAATCTGGCAACTGTCTTCCTTGAAGATTATTGCACCCCTCTGCGGGTGGAGGAGGCCAGGAACCGGACCGGGCACACTGCCGTAGGGATCCCGTTGCCCAAGGAGTAGTGCCTCAAAACAGGCAGACTTTCCTGGCAAATGCAGTCCCAGGCCTTCCTGTTGACAGAGCCAGTTATAAAGTGAGATCATGCCAGAAATGGTGCTTTGAAGAGCGACTGTGGGGGAATTTGGAACTGACCATTAAGAGTCAGAATTAGTCGCTCCACACATTTGGGACCCAAGTGCTTTTCAACCCAGAGGTACTGTTGGGTGAAAGAAAGGAGTATTAGAAGGAAAGAATCATCTTCAGGAAATTCATCTCCACTAGAGAGTATCTGATGGAATACAGGAATTAGAAGGGAGGATCAGCGCAACTCCACAGCTGATGGTACTCTAAAATATATTCCAAAGATGTTCACAAGGCATTTACTCCTATTGCAAACCATTCAGGCTGCAACTCTTTATACAGTGACTTGGGAGGAAGCCCTCGTGAACATACTGAATAAGAACGCAGGGAACTGCAGTGCTGATCTGTCTCTTAGAGCAGGTCTGGGTGGCAGATCCTTTCAGATTCTGGAGAGCTTTAGCTCATGCACAGAGGAACACACATTCCTTCACCTTCATTTCTAACCTCCACAGGATTGTGACACACCTGCTGCTCCCTCCTTTGTTGCCTTGGCTTCTGATCTCTTTTCCCCCTCTACGCTTTCTTCTGATAGCTCCTGGCAGCTATTTGCTGTTATTAGCACATTAACTACAACACAGCTTTATCCCAATACATTGAATTGGAAGATTCCATATGCATTAAAATAATAAATACAAAACCAAGTTGCAGCTTCATGAAGCTATGTTTAGTAGTAGCATATTAATATAGAATATTTTATGCATTTTATTTTATTTGTTTTACCTTATCCCTCATTTAGTGGATAAGCCACCACTATCAGAAGCTTCCAAAAAAAGACATGAATATACAAACAAAAGTTTAGAATGAACATATAGACTCCAAAACCCCTCATAAAAACCTCCAGTCTAGCAAATATTCCAAGACTCAAAATGGTGAAATGTGGGCCCACGTAAGATAACTACAAAGTTTAATATTTCACTTACAAAGGGGTAAAGCTTGTAAAGGCCAGGTTTTAATTTGCTTTTAAATTTATGTCTTTGTTAAAACATTAAAAAAATTATAGCTTAGAAATATATGTAAAATATAACATAACTCATAGTGCTTAGACATTTGGTATTTGTCATTCACGTTCCTGACTTATTGATAGACACATTTTTTTCTCTAGTAAACAATTTTGGAGTACCCAGATTTGGCAGATGCAAAGGGAGGAGAAAACTCCATAGATTTATTGGATGGTAAGGAGAGAAGAACTGCTGTTAATCAGCACAGCTACAAAAATTTCCACCCTCTAGAACTCACCACTCTTTCATATTTACAATCATGTGCATTTGCTTTGCAGATACTGTACCCTGGACTGCTAGAAAAACAGACAAGTAGCTCCTAGATCAAATCAAGCCAGAACTTTCTCTGGAGGCAAATATAATGAAACAGGGGGCTGCCATAACTTGAGCACATCACCCAAAAAGTTAGTTCACTGGAAAAGACAATAATGCTGGGAAGAGCTGAAAGCAGCAGGAAAAGTGGAAGACAAAAGAAATATGAGATGGATTGAGTTTACAAGAGCTGGGCAGGGCTGTCGAGGACAGGACATTTTGGAGATCACTTGTTTGTAGGGTCACCATAAGTTGGAGGCAACTTGAAAGTGCATAGCAACAACATTTACTATAAAGTTTTAGCCCAGGCTGAAACAGCAATTTCTCAACAAATAAATCCCTGGCTAGAGCTGGACTTAGCTAGCATTTGATTTACTTTTAATCTTCCCTGTAAAGGAAAGCTGGGTTAAGATTGCCGAGAAGATAAAGTAATTTGTGTAAAAAGAGGCTGCTAGACATTCTCAAATGATCACAGCAAACTATGCTGTATGACTGAATGGGGTGTTTCTGTCATGGCTGTAGTGTGTGTTCTGAATTATGTGCTGTCACATTGGTTCCAACTTATAACCATAGTAAGATTTCCGTGATATGTGAGATATTTAAGAAATTATTTTACCAACGTTGACACTGACACACACACTCCCACACACACTCCCACTTCCACTCGCCTATGAATTTCCATGGCCAAGCAGGGATTTGAATCTACGTCTCTTGGTCCTAGTTTGACACTCTATCCACTATTAACCAGGCATGTTCTAAGATGTCATGTCGAAGCACTTTTGGAACCACAACAGAAGGTGTCTACCTCCAGACTACATCAAATGGAAAGTTCTTTAACCTCTCTAAATTGAGACCAAAGACCAAAATCCAGCTGAAATACATGCGAGACTTCCTCTTTGCCAGTGATGCAGCTGTTGCCATTCTGCTGAAGACCTCCAACAACTCATGAATCATTTTAGTAAGGCCTGTCGAGACTTTGGATTACCAGTCAGCCTGAAGAAAACACAAGTCATGGGCCACAGTGTGGATTTACCTCCCTTTATTACCATCCCTACACAAGAACTGGAGGTTGTTCATGACTTTATGTACCTTGGCTCAACGATCTCTGACACCCTCTATATGTCGAGATAAACACATTGGCAAAGCAGCTACCATGTTCTCTAGACTCACAAAGAGAGTATGGCTTAATAAGAAGCTGATGGCATATACCAAGATCCAGGTCTATAGAGTCTGTGTCCTGAGCACACTCCTGTACTGCAGTGAGTCATGGACCCTTCATGCACGGCAGGGGAGGAAGCTGAACACGTTCCATATGTGTTGTCTCCGATGCATTTTGGTATCACCTGGCAGGACAATGTTCCAAATTCCTAGAACGAGCTGGAATTTTTAATCCACCTTGCCTCCCCATAGCATTTCCTACCTGTTCCCCTGACTGCATATTTTAAAAAGTGAGATAAAAAATATTAAAGTGAGCCTGAGATAATACAAAGCAAAATATCGCCTTACATTTCTTTGTCCCTCATACTTGGATTGTGTTGAAGTTGGCATTTTGTCAGACTGTGTGTGATATAGGTGAGTGAGATAGAGGGCAGGAGGACACCCTATCCTGCTTGATTGCTGTCTACCCTGGAAGGCGAGTAAGAAACACAGACACAAGAGAGCAGAGAGGTGAAGCAGAATGTGGAGGAGTCACCTTTTGGGAAACCAGAACAAAAGTCAGGAATAGGAAAGAAAGGAGAGAGGGAGGAAGCGACTATTAGGAGGGAGAAGAGTGGGAAAAGAAGAGAAGGGAAAGTTGGGAAAAACAGACAAGGAGAGTATATAAAGAGGAAACAAGCAGAGCAGGGAGGCAGAAGCCAGATTAGATGAGGCAAGGAGAAAGCTATTACCAGAAGGCTGGGAATGTGTATGGGTGGAAAATCCATGGACCCACAAGTGAGAACAGTTAAGGATTTGGGTGGTGCCGAAAAATAAGAGAGCTAAGAGAGAAATGAGAGACAGGGGCATGGAAGACACAGTCAACTCATGAGAGATGTCTTCCATGAAGTGGTGAGGCTAAGCATCTACAGAGACCAACCCAAGAAGGAGAGAGCTGGGGAGAAGAGGAGCTACCCGTTGCCCATGCCAATACAGGGAGACCCCTTTGAACTCATGACCCTCTTTGAGGACGGGGCTCCCAAGAACTTGGGGACTATAGAGAACCTCTGTTCTGAAGCTCAGGCCTGCTTTGTACCTAACCTTCTTAGGCAGATTTCTTTTTGTCTTAGTTTGCCTTTTGGACAAACTCTGTGTCTTATTAGTCACATGCACTATAGCAACCATTTTCTGAATGGGCAATCAGCCACTGTCCCATGGCAGCCATTTTTTGAACCTACCCCCCCACCTCCAATCTCAAGTATGTCTACAAACCAGAAGTGCATGGAGACCTGTTAATTAGCAGCTGGAGAACTGACGAGGCACATGGAAAGAAACACTGTCTAGGGCAGCACACTACCTTTGCCTTTGTTCCAGGGCTCAAGGCTTTCACTGGCAGACGTCCCCAAACTGGTTGCCCTCTTATATTTTACGAGCATCCTGAAAAATCATACTAGGGCTTATTTTCAGGTTAGGTCTTATTTTGGGGGAAACAGGATATCCTCCATTTACTTTAAATCTCTACAAAGGCTCCCAATCACATTCTGAGGAACACACCGATGTTCACTATGTTGAATTCCTCCCTCTCATTTAGAGGTGCCAGTTTGGATACAGTTCAGTTGGGGTGCTCTCGGTTTGGTCTTGAATGTGGTTAGAACTATTCCTCAGCTTGGGTATGTACAGGCACTCCTCACTTAACAAATGAGTTCTGTTCTTACTACTCGTCGTTAAGCAAATTGGTTGATAAGCGAGGAGCTTAAAGACAAAAGCAGGAAGGAGCTGGAGTCAGAGCCAGCTGGAAGAGCAGCCACCGCCATGTTGCCACCAGCTTGGTGGGAAAAAAAAAAAACCAAAACTTCTACGTTGCTCCTGGCTGGTTTGAGAACCACAAGGGGTGAGCGGCCCACTTTGGGAAGCTTGGGCATTGGTCCTGGCTGGTTTGGCAGCAGAATGAGACAAAAACTGAGAAAGGGGATTCCCTGCACTGGAGGACTGGTTGCAAGTTAAACAAGTTGGCAATTAAGCGAGGAGTGGCTGTATGCCAACTGCACCAGTTCCTCCAAGACAACCAATATGGCCATGGTGACCCATCCTTGAGTTACGTCATGTTTCTGGACTACGATGCTCTCTACATGGGGCTGCTTTGGAAATCATCCCAAAAAAGTCAGCTGTGTCAATACAACTTTTAAAGCCCTAAATGCCTTGTGACTAGGATACCTCTACTGAACAGAAGATGATTCTTCTCCAGTATACATCTATTTGCTCCATAAGATTGTCTGAACCAGATGTTTTGCATTTGTAACATGCAAGTGATGTTTGGCTGGGATGCATGAGGGGGGCTTTTCTGCTGCCATTCCTAGAATGTGGAGCTCTCTCTCATGGAAAGCCACCTCTTTTCCCTTTTTGATGGACTTTCTTTCACAGGTTGGAAAACCATACCTAAACATTCACACTGCATGCAACAGATTTCAGATTTGATCCAACATTGTCAACAGGTGGATCTTGTGCTTGGCATCCCTTAATGTACATAACAATCAAACATTAATATGTTTAATTATAAAATTCTCAATAATTATCTTCCCTTCCCCAACTCTTGATCTGTTTAAAGTTATTTAATACATCATGATTTTGATTATTCTTCTGGAACGCCCTAGTCAGCTGCAAACCAAAATGATATTAGAGCATGTATATGGAAAATGATTTAAGAAATCAACCCAATTTTTATTTTTGTGTTTTATGGCTTTCATGCAGTTGATTCAAGCTGATTAAGTGGATAGAATATGAATATAACCATGAAAATAAAACTCAGACACTGCTTCAAAATTTCTATATCCTTTATTTTTAAGCAACAATCCAGCTTTATCAAGATACAACACACAATTAGAAGGATGAGATTCTCACCTCATGGTCAAGCACTAGCATGATCATGCATAGCACTGGAGTCATTTGGACTAGAATGTCCCTTCTGAGATTTGTCTCCACCCAAAGCTAACTTCCATGTGGTCCATTCCACCATCGCTTAAAGGGGACCGATACTCAAGGAACAGAACAGCAGGCTCATGTCACCAGTCATAACTGGCACTGCCCCCATCTTCTCATGGCTGAATCAAGAGTCTTCTTAAGACAGCATGGTTGATTACTAGCACCACAACTCTACTGTTCTGTAATGCACAACAGGGCTTCAGACATTTGCCAGTTATTGAACAATACCTTGGATAACCAACCAGCATGTGTTGCAGAAATGGGTAAGGGAGAAAGAGGAAAAAGAACATTTGTTACCCACCTTCTGATATGTACACCCCCAACTTTCAGTCCTCCTAAGCCAACTGAGGGGTTTCTATGTGTTTCAAGACAAAAATGCCACCTAGCACACTTAGAACCAACCAGCCTAGTTGATAAAACACACCACTATAAGAGACCTTAGAAACCATTCGGTCAGCCACAGGCTGCATAATAAGTACCACTGCTCTACATCTACNCGCGGGGGGGGGGGGGGAGGAATCACACATGCTACTTCCATTAGACCCAAGGGAGACAATACAGAAGTTGGGAAAGAAAAAAAAAACACCTTCCTTTAAAATAATAATAATAAAAAAGATGAAGTACATAAAGTGCTTCTTTAATGATAGCTTGAGAAGTACAGTCAGGCTCAAGTTGTGCAGTTCACAAGCATGGAAGAAAAAAAGAAAGAACGACAGACATGAGTTCCAAGTAATAAGAAGGAGCAAAGGAGGATGATTTTTAACCGAGGACTAGGCTGGATTTTCCGCCAGGTGGATTTCTCCTAGATGGTGCTGGTGCTGAGGCTACTGGGCTAGGCACTGGTGCAGCCGGCAGGGGCTTTTCTTCACTCAGGCCTGAAGCAGCTTCTATTTCAACTTCTGTGTTTTCTGGAAAGTGAGGACAGGAGTGGTGATTACGAAGAAGCACAATCATTTCCTCTTAGCTGAGCACCTGCCAGGGTGGGCAAGAAGCTTCGAAGTTTTCGGCTTCCAGAATGTCTGCTGTAGCCAAGAAGGGGGGAAATCATATCACCTCAGCTGTTCTGTCCCTGTCATGACACCGGGGTGTGTTATCCCCCCTTTTCGACTACAAATCACCTCTGGAGAGCTGCTCTGAACCAACACTGGTTCCACAGCACATCTCACAAGGAAGGAGACGACTTCTGATCCAAAGCTGTCTTGCAAATACACTGTTCTGATCAACGTACTCTCTAATTTTCAGCCCCACTGGGTGGTACTCCACCTCTCTTGCATGCGACTTGGCCCCTGTGTGCATGTACAACTCTGCCCCCCCCGCACAGGGTTCAGATGCAACCGGAACCTAATGCAATCACTGTGCGGAGGAGGGAGAGAGCTGCACACAAGGAGGCAGAGATGCACGTGTGCGCACCCGGCTTAGACGGAACCTTGGTTCGGTTGTCTCTTTTGGAGTACAAGTGCAGAACACAAATTTATGAGAGGTGACCAACACTGTTTGCTTTTTCTTTGCCTTCTCATTCCATAGAGTTACACTTTTGTTTCCTACAGAAAAGCCAGCCTAAAGCAGCTCAGCTTTTGCTGCCTTGTACCTCCAGATTTACCAACAGACCCACACAGAGAGAAGACTGGGTGTGACCCATCAGAATGCTACCTAATCCAACCAACTCAAATCAACAAGGGGAAACCCTCACAGGTAATCCACATTACAGTGAGTGAGAGTGAGAGAGAGAGAGAGAGAGGAGAGAGAGAGAGAGAGAGAGAGAGAGAGAGAGAGAGTGTGTGTGTATGTACACACACTCTGCTTTAAATAGGCTGATGAACCCTCATGACACAAGACTCAAATCAACTTGCTGGATTCAAACTGTTTCTGTGGGAAAGCATATCCCTCAATCTGTACACTATACCATGTGGCCAAGCTAGGATTACTACTGGGTTGTAAAATTAAAACAAGGCAGCATGGCTAACAGCAGAGGCAGAAGAAGTCATTGGGGGAGGGAGAAGTGAAGCAGATAAACTCCTAAATCTGAAGCCCTGCCGGGCTCATGATGAGTTGTGGTGGGGAAGTATTCTGTTTGCTTCTCTTTCTTTAAAAGATCTCACTTCCAAGTGAAGCATTCCAGGCTTAGGGTACTGCATTCTTCCCACCTCTGTATGTGGGTGCAAGTGATGGGGAAACAGAAGGGATTTGGATCGAATGGTTTCATGCCTCCTCAAATCCCCCCTGATTTTTCTACATCTCTGCTGAGCCACTGAAGGGAAGGGGGTGAGGGTGACAGACCCTTTGCATGGCATCTGACAAGAAGTTTTTTGCAAGCAGACCTCCCTCTGAGGTAAACCAGAAAATCCCTGGGTCTTGGGAAATCCTTCCAATGATTATGTGTCTGTGCCCTCAGTGGCTATTTTGGGCAGAACACTGGGCGAACCCAAACATCCTAGACTGAATGCACAGGAACTCTTCAGAATGGAGCTCCCTCAGAGATAGTCCCCGAAAGCAGCCTGCCAAAAGCTAGCCAATAATGCAGTAATCATTAGTTGCATGGACAAAATTCTTCAAAAATTCTAATTCAACCTTAAAACACAACTAGAATGAAAATAATGCTGTAAAATGGAACTGCCCCCTACACATAGAAATCATTTGTTTTCCAAGTACCACGACTTTCAGTTCATACATACTCTATGAACCTGTTCTACATTTTTAGTTAATGTAAAACAGATTCACATAGGATAGTTGCATACATTATCAAGTTCTTTCCTTAGCCCTCCTGAGAGGGCCTTCACTATGGTGCTGCTTTGGAACAAGCGGCCCTTGTGGAGCCTGGCTGCTCCTTCTATCACCAAACAAAGATCTTCCTTTTCAGGCAGGTTTTTAAGCAATCCGTGGGGGTCTGAAGGATGCCATGTTTTTAATTTAGATATTTTAAAATGTTTTTAAATGCTTTAATAATTTTTAAATTGTGGCCTTAATACTGATAAATATTTAATTGTTTTTAGCATACTTTTTATGGTGTTTAAAAATGTGTGATTATTGTATAGTTTTAATCATTGTGAGACATTGATTATTGTATAGTTTTAATCATTGTGAGACATCATCTATGGGGAGAAAGGCAGCGAATGAACGAATGAACGAATTCCTGCCAGTGATATTCTTAAATACTATTAGCATTTATAGGGGGGGGAGGAGGAAAGATTCATACGAGCATTTTGAAGAAGTAAAAGGGCAAAGTCAATTCATCTGAGGAGGATATTTAGGTCTTAAATCCAGAGCAAGAGACCCAAATATGCATATGGTTGTGAATGCCTTTCAACAGCATTTAGTGCTCTTTCTCAAGGCAGCATTGCTTTCAAGGCACTGTTCCGTCAGCAGATCAATCTACACCCCTCCACTTCTGACCAGTTAAACTGCTGTTTCAGGCACAAAATTAAATCTCCTCCCACCCACATCCTCAATGGCACATTTAAGAGATCAGAGCTAAAGCCTAGTACTCTTTTTCTTGTATAATGGTGGGATCTGACACAGTCATCCTTCCTGATGGAGCGGCTTCCATCAGTAGAACAGAGAAGGACAGATACCCAATTCCACCAAAACTCTGTGTATTCTCAAAGCCTGCTTCAGATGGCTGAAAAACCACCCAGAGCAGATTTTGGAGTCGAGTGGCGGGCTGCAGAAAGGACAGGAAGAAAATTAAGTTCCGCGGCACTAGCAGATGTCTGCCAGTGTGACCCTGGATTTCATCCACCGACTGCATGTTGCTACAACTCCTGCTGAAAGCTCCTTTGTACTGTTATGATTACATTAAGCACACTGTTCCCAGTTCTGGCAGCATTAATGCCACATTTCAGACAGACCGTACAGTCAAAACTTCCCAGACTTTGTGATCCATGTGTCCTTCTCTCCTCACGCTAAATAACAGGCGCCCCGGAGAACTGGAGTTAGCAAATCCCATTTTACAGCCATTCTAGAGTTTTATGGGGTTGAGACATAGGGGTGGGTTAAGTACACAGGGGAGTGTCCAGCCGGATATGCCTCTTATCTCATGATGACTCTACAATAAAGGCAACATTATTGGCTGTCAAAGAGTGCCTCTTTTACAAGGGAGAACAACTTAGCCTGTCAGCTAAGAGACCACACTACCGAGCAGCTCACTGCAGCAGAGGCTGTGGCAGGTGTAAGCAGCTCACAATGGGACATAATGAAACCAGGCCAACTTTCTTCAGAGCTCTCATTCAGCTCACGTCAATTGACGGTTCTGCACAGAACACCCTCAGTTCCTGGTTTGTCAAGAATGTTCTTAAGTTATCCCAAAGCCCAATGTGTGCCTTTAAGAATGTTTTATCAGCAATCCTGTTATACAGCTTTCAAGTGTATCTCTTTAAATGGTTTAATGACTAGCTTGATCATGGGCTCCACTGTGAAATGAGTCCTACATGTTCTCGTTTCTAGGTGGCTGTTTGTCCTGCTTTCAGTCTTAGAAAGACAAATGCTAAGTCTCATGAAGGTAGTTTCCATGTTCATGCCTTGAGGAAGTCTATGAGCCATCACTCTCTCTCTGCTACACTAATTTTTAATTTTTGTTCAAGAAGCTAGTCATAAGTAGCCCACTGCTAACATCAAAGTGAACTGTGAATACACTTACCCTGTCTAAATAAGCATCTGTTCCAACATGTGACTGTGAATCAGATGTTCACAAATCCATTGCCTTGCTCACCAGCAGGGGGGAAAAGCCTGCAAGGTGGTTTTCAACATGCCATTCTCTTGGAGAACCAGTCCTGGGCATTTCCCCTGATTTTTTTTTCTCCTGATCCAAGCCTCAGAGACAAGGAACGCTAGAAGCCAAATCTCTCTTTCCAGCCCTTATTGCTTGTGAAACATTCAGGGAATTGAGAGAGAGAGAGAGAGAGTAGAGATGGGAGAGTACTCAGTAAGCCTTTGCATTTGTGAATGATTGTTCAAATTTGATCAGAATAAAGTGGATGCACTACTCAAAAAACTAGGTGCAAATCAAGGGATAGTTTTCCATTCTGATCATAGAAGCAGCTATATGAAAGGTGGCTGAGACATGGCTAAGATATGGGACCATCCTATTTTGAGTATGTCACAGATCATGGAATTTGACAAAAACAAATTCAAATTGCTTTATTGGTCATCCACACCATTGTTAAATTTCTCTCCTTCTTCTCTTATGGCAATTTCAAATGCCCCTGTGGGGTATAAGCAGCCTAGGCAGTCAAATTGCACTGTCAAAGGTCAGAATCTCTGATTTTATCAAACACTGCCTAGAGGAACTTTCTCAAATATGGCAAGTATTTCAAACTCCCTAGTTGTGATGACAGAATAAGTGCTGGCAGTACGCCTTCCTTTTTAACCTAAAGGAGAAAGAACAATATTTTCTGGGCCCTTTGGCATAATAGCAATTGGGGGGGGGGAGGGAAGAGGCATGTCCCACTAATAAGTGATAATATAGTCGGACTACTTGGTTATATATCTCCCAGGCTTCTCTCTATGGACACTCCAATTGCAGTGAAGTACACTCCTATCAGCTATGGAGGCCAAGCTCATATTGAAATGCAACTATCTACCAGTGAGATGGGTCTGCCATTCCTAGATTGTAACCATATAATGCAGCTATGGATTTTATGTTGGAATACTAATCTAGGATTTATCAAATGCAGGAAATTTTGACCTCATGACTGCTCCAACCTATCTTTGTTTCTGACCTTGATTTCAAGATCTAGCTTAACCAGCAGATTTCTGGATGGTTAACCACATGACTAAAATGTCCTGTATCCAGCTCAATAAGCCAAGGGAGATTGACGCCAACTGTTTGCTATACACTAGACAGAGGAACCAGCTACGGCAATCTGATCAGATTTCAAAAGATCAGTCAGGTTAGAAAGCTAACTACAGACATCTTTCTTAGTGAGCTGTCCATGCATGTAAAAAGCCAAGTAAGGGAAAGCTCCTGCAGAGATTAAGTGAGTACTGTCAACCTCCTGCCCCCAAAGTGTGCTATTTCACAGCTGATAAAATTGGCTGTGTGCATAAGGCACAGCACCTGAGGAGCCACTCTGCTTCACAGAGAACTGGACAGAGAATTCCATTCTGTCTATTCCAATTTTCCTACACCTGAGTATACCAATTTTGGATCACTAGCTCAGGCATCTCTTTCTGCTGTGGAACAGTCTGCCTTCAGACAACTACAGTAAACAGTATAATAGTCACTTATTCATAGGTTATATAATGTACCCTCTCAGCTTTTTGCAGGAAAGATTCCCACACATGACAAGACCACTACCACAAAGAGGATGGGCGGTTCATTATTCAGGCCGTCTTAAACCTGAAACTTAAAACGAAGTTTAGGGAGTGGGCAGCTGCTGAACCTCTTTAGTCACAACACAAAGGCATGCAGCCTTCACAGGCTGTGCACATCTGATGCCAGAGATTCTCCACATAACTTTTTCAGGTCTCAATACGACACTACAAAGCTCTGGAAAGCTTGATTTCATAAAACTCAGAACATGCTTCGTTTACCAAACATCTTGGTAATGAAAAAGAGCCCGCTGATGTAATGGATGCACTAACAGAAGCTTTTTCCTCTTTTGCTTTCAGTAATTTCTCACACCAAAACCTCTTCACGTTTACAGTCTGCCTTCCCTTGGGGACCTCAGAACAGATTCCCCTTAAACATATCTATACCTTGCCTTTCTCTTCAAGAGCACCTGAGTTGGCTTATACAATGTTAAAAATATAAAAACTGGAAGAGGAGAAACAAACAAACAATAAAATCAAACCAGTCGCCTGACTCTTAGGCAGCCAATCCCTGAGGAAAAAGCCTGCCTGAAAAGAAAAATCTTTGCCTGTCTGCAAGACAGCAAAGAGGGGGGCCAGCCTCACCTCCTGAGGGAAGGAATTCCATCTATCTGGCACGATCCATCAATTAGGAGTTCCCCCAACTACTTTTCTTGGTATGTTTTTTTTTTAAACACACACTCTCTCTCCATGCTATGCGTGACAAAGAGCACACCGTATGGCCACAGGCAAAATGACAAGCTTGTCTCCAACATGGACACAATCCTACCCTGGCCATACCAAACCCCACACATTATCCTTTAGGCTTCAAATAACACTGTTGTGTTCAGCCAGGGCCTCTCCCTGAGCACTGGAAAGGATTACCTTAAGGCTACCTGAAAGTTAAAAGTGAAAAAGGTACTTACCAGGAGCCTCGCCTTCCCCGCTCTGCAATAAAAAAAAGTTTGTGTCATTTCCAGTTCTTTGAAACAAGCATAACTGACGGTCCTTTCTTGCATTTAAGCCAAGAGGAAGGGCTCGTTTAGATGTGCATTTGTCCCGCTGTTCGGTGTGCTGCAGGGGGCGGGTTGGTTTGCTCTTTTTTTCTGGTGACCCAAACCCTCGTCGCTAGAAGGGACCAATTTGCCTCCAGAGCATTCCAGTCTGTATCTTTCGCTTCTGCTTTTCTAGTGCACTCTAGTCTGTTCCCAATGTGTGCAAATTGCTGGGAATGGACTCAAACTGAGCTTTGCATCTATTAAAGCTGCCAAGGCTCCTTCCTGTTTCAATTTGTGGTATCATGACATGGCCTAATAAGTGAGCAATTACAGGATATAAGAAAAAAGAACACTTCCCCTGCTCCTCTGAAGAGGGACGGGGGACGTGAAATCATTATTATTATTTTTTACTCTGCTAGACCATATCTGTTGTGCTGAATCATTTAAAATATATATTTTTAAAAATTATTTGCCTTTATGTGAAGTGCAAATCAAAATCATGGCTGGAGGCGGCTTCTCAATCAGTACTATACACAAGGCAAAGAAAAAAAACATAACATTGTTTTTTTAATCAGAGTGATTCAGTGCATCAGTTATGGCCTAGCAGAGTAAAATAAGTTAATATTTTCACTTCCCCTGCCCCCTGCAGTGTTCAACTGAGAATGGAAGAGCCAGACAGTCACCTGAGATGGATAGGACATTTGCATGCAATGATTGCGCCCAATGGCGTATTGCTCCTCCCCTCAGTCTCAAGCAAACCTATTTAGACTGCACTAGCCTGCATCAAGAGGTATGACAATCACAGAATGAAAACTAAATAAATAAATAAAAGTTCAATGCTACCTTTGAAAATTAACAAATGTATTTCAATGTGAGATTCCTCAGTTTCCAAGACAGTCTGAGGAAGCGGATCATAATCAAAGGGTGCACTGAAATGTATCTGTTTTTTAAGATGCCAAAATACTTTTATTTTTGGCTTGGTTTTGTTATACATGCTGGAACATGTTTAATAAGGCTACTTCTCCGAAATATACAGAGCAGTGTTTTCTGAAGGCTAGCTATTCTTACCAAAAGCTGGAAATGATATACAGTATCTTACATAAGATTACAAGCCTTAAATAAATTCTACCGCTGTACCATTTATAATTTGTAAAGGAATTAGAAACAGCAGTCTTATCTATATATGTGTACAGTATACTGCTTTCCCATAACACTGTATCCCAGCAAGTTCCAAACAGTAATATATATGAGAAAAGAAAAGCAAAAGAACCATAGCAGCAACCTACCCACATAATAAAAACAAACCACACAACTCTGAATTGTAAACACAATGTGGGGCTCTCTACAATTAATCTAAGCACATCATTAAATGGCCCAGCTATCTCACCTTGCTTCTTCCAAATTATATCTTCCTATGCCTAAGCCTCTACCTTGTGCCAGCCTCTCTTAGTTTTTTCAAGTTTTTATTTATTAAAATAACCAAAAACATATGGAGCTAAGCTATACCTACATTAAGCAAAACTATTCCTTCCCACTAAGATGTAGCCAGTTCTATACCTGGAGACCAGATCAAGTCTCTGGTATTTAAAACATGTATCTCCATAAACAATCTCTAGTTAACTGAGGAACCAACCTTTGTACTCTTCTCTACTAACATATTAAATCAATGGGAACCAAATTTCTATGAATTCCTCTTGATTTGCATTTCTCAATATCCTTCACTTATCTGTCAATTTGCCCATGATGGCTAACTCCCATACCCTTTTAAGTCCAGATCACTTAACCATTTCCATTTATAAACAATTTCTGTGAGCAAGAGGGCTATTCAATAAAGCCCAATATTTCTGTGGTATATAATGCTTAATACTACAATGTTTGTTATCTAATTCCAGAAACTAGTTACTCAGTTTTACAAAGTTGGGTTTTTTAAATCACTTCCCCTTTGCCAATCAGGGGAAGTGATTAATTTGCCAACATCCTAAAGTGGCTTGCTTATTGAGCTACTTCACTGTTATTGGCACATTGAAAGAGGCAGGCTTCCTTTGGTCTGTTCCCAGCAATCACACGTGCTGGAGACGAACCACGGAAGAGTGATCCTACCTGCACCAAAAAAAAAAGCGGAAGGCCCCTGACAGTGGCCAGAAGGTTGCAGGTAGGAAGGCTCTGTGGGTTGGCTAGTCTGCTGCAGCAAAGATCTCATCTGATCGCCATCTTTCAGAGCACACCAGCTGGTCCCTGCAATGCTCCAAACAGCTGGTTAAATAGCCAGTGTAGTCAGCCTCTTAGTCTAAAGACACATTTCTCTTCCCATTCTGGAAACTGCAAAGTTTTGCCTGGCAGCAGAAGTCTGGGTGAGCCAAAATCAGACAAAGAGCTGCATGTGCCAAAACTTTCATCCACTGTTGCCAGGATTCAGCACAGTGATACATTCAGTTAACGTCCAGCGGCAGGAAGGAATGGAGTGGTCCGATTGTGATGTGTGGTTTTTTAGTGTCCTCCATGTTTATACAGCATACAGAGAGATTTTCTCAGTCAAACTCAATTAACTGCTTGATTTAAAAAGAATCACAGAGACTTATACTGGACACTCCTAAGCTTCCACAAGGTACCTAATTATATACTTCACCTTTTGACAAATCAAGCTTTTTCTCTTGTATTGTAAGGAGGCTTAACACTTTTTGCAAGTTAAGTGAGTTGAAAACTCAGTTTGCTTTTCTACCTAGTTCTTTTAATGTCTCTCTGCTGGTAAGCAAAAAAGTGCTACTTCCATTTGAAGCCTGAATATACAGTGGTGCCTCGCTAGACGATGATAATCCGTTCCACTGAAATCGCTGTTTAGCGAAGTCATTGTCTAGCAAAAAGCATTTCCCTATTGGAATGCATTGAAACCTGTTTAATGCGTTCCAATGGGAAAGAATCATTGTTGTCTAGTGAAGATCGGCCATAGGAAAGCCACTTTGCGAACCACCGATCAGCTGTTTAAATCGCTGTCTTGCGAAGCTTAGGTCCCGAAAACACCTGTTTTGTGAGCGCGGAGGGAGCTGTCAAAATCGTTGTCTAGCGAAAATTGGTTTGTGAAGCAGGGATCAAAGATTGTCCAGCGAAATTCCCCCATAGGAATCACTGTTTTGTGAATCACTATAGCGATCGCAAGAAGTCAATGTCTAGCGAAAAAACTGTCATGCGGGGTAACTGTCTAGCGAGGCACCACTATACTCTGTTTTGATAATACTCCGTCATTCTCCACCACGGGGCCGTCCAAGAACTATCTTCAAGGCAGCAGGCCGCCTCAGGTTCTTGTGCCATGGAAGCTAGGTAGAAATGGCTCTCTTCTTGGCATTAGTCTCTCCACCAAGTACTGCAAACAATCCAGCTACAAACAGTAAGAACTGGCATCAAGGTGACCAGCCCACATTTCTCTTCTTTGCATTAAGCTCTATATACACAGAGCCAGGATCATCAATACACTGAGAAGTGAACACCAAGAACCATTATCCTGCACTGTTACAAGGCCCACTTCCATGTTCTATTCCAGCCTTTTTCATCCAATAAGCTAAACAGAAGCTTTTACAAACTATGGAAGTTCAGACATTGCAAGAACCTTTTGAATGACTCCCCAACAAGCAGTCTTACATTCAAATGACAAATAAAAGCAGTCTTTTCTGACCAGCCATTTTCTTGAGAGCTACTCTTCTATCCAAAAACTTATGGCAATCTTAAATGCAATTACTATAAGGGAGGATGTGAAGTGAGTAAGGTAGGAAATCCATTTTCCCTCTGAAAAACCATTTGCCCTATATGTTGACCACCTCTCAGCCAATATTAAAATATTCAACATTAAAAGGAAACGACCTCTTACCTTTGGATCTACACAATCACCAGAATTTGCATCAGAAGAATTTATCCTATCTGAGCCAAGTTCTTCAGGATTTTCACTGATATCACTGGACTTGGCTGCGAGAAACAGATTTTTTCAGTGTAAACAATGCATTTACAGCAAATCAAGGCCAATCAAAGCAACATTCATATTTCCAAGCAATATTCTCTGGCATCTAACTGGATTCCCATTCCCATATCAATTGGGAAGGATATCCCAATTGATATCCTTTTCTAGCCTGGCCTAAGACAATACCACACAGGCACTAGATTCAAACATAGGATAAGTAAACCTTTTCACAACCCCCATAGACCAAAAACATTCCTGGCCATTCAAAAAAAAAACACCACTTGAGTTTCTTCTTTCTGATAGAAAGATCACTGATCAAGCAGCTAGATTTTGTATGGCGATACTCAGGTTTCAGAAATTCCACAGTAACTATACACCAGATTTTAAATTATCTTTTAATGCCAAATGTTTATATGAAGTACTGTACCTGGATTTTGGGAAATTTTAAAGTAACTAGATACTAGATTTTAAGTTGTCTTTTAATGCCAAATGATCTTACAAAGTATTTAGAATTTTGGAAACTGTAAAGGTCTATGTTTTTCTCCCTGTGTGATTGGTCTAAGGACCATAACAATAAACTGTACCATACTTGTTCACAACTGGTCCAACAACAGTTACCACCTTGATCTATTCTGTCTCATAACTCAATGGCTAGAATCCCACTGTTTTCATGTACTGTAAATAGGCAATCACACTCTCCCTCGTGCTCCCGACACCCTCCAGCAGAGAAAATGTCTGTGTGCCTGGTCATGCAAGTAATAGCAAGTGATGGGAGAAACCAGCTCTCCTGAACTGTTTTCATTCACCAGGGTTTTGAGCTTATATAGCATTCTGCATTTATGAGAACAGGAACTACAGAGGTCAAGAGTAAAGATGGGCATGAACCGTGGTCAGGTCCGGTTCAGTTTGGTACCTGCACAGAGGTTCCCAGGCACTATATGCTTCCCTTCCCCTGTGCAATCACCCATTCGTCCCTCCTTTGCCTTCTCCACACAATTGCCCACTCAGACAAGGCGGCAGGGCAGTGTGGAGAAGGCAAGGGAGGAAAGTGCACTGTAGCTGGTGAGTGGGTGATTGCAAAGAGTCAGCAGGGGAGGGAAGCAAGCAGCACCCATGGAACACATGTGCAGGTGCTGCGCCGAACCAGGCCGAACCACGGTTTGTGCCCATCTCTAGTCAAGAGACTCCATACCTGCTCTAGATGTTTACACAGATATTCTTGAATAAATATACTCTATCATAAAAAGGCTTCCATTCCTGCCGTTTTTGGATTGAACTTGCAGAAGTTAACAGGTAGTCAAGCAAGAACTTGCTCATGCCAAGGGATCTGATATGGACACTTGTGACCAAAAACAGAACCAGAGAATTACTCAACAGCTACATGTTGGAGCAGCATCTAGTAAATGTGGTGCTCTTTCTTTAAAAAGGTGAATAATCCATGCTCTCCACCCATATGCAACCATTCTGGCATGAAAGAACCCTAAGGCCCATCTTATCTTGTTTCCAATTAGTGTTTAACATCTTGGTAAAAACTATTTTACAGCTGCAAAGCACATTCAACAAATACATTCAAAGAAACCAAATTTCAGTACAGGGAGCCTTTTGAAAAAGGACCTCTTTCACCTGTTGATCTAGCCCAGGAGGGTGGATTCTCTTCTGGGGTCCCAAAGATACTGGATGCCATCTTGCTCCTTCTTCCTCCTTGCTGTTCTTTTGGCAAATCAAATCCAAGGTTGAAATTGGAACCACCACCTGGCGGACGAAGAACCCTGGAATAAGATGCAGGAATTATATTTAAGGCATATTAGCTGCCTCAATATGATTATTAAAGCAGCAGTACAAACACACATGAGCGCGCACACATACCTCACTTTATTCCATTTCAGATTAGTCTGATTTCTGATGGTTGCTGTGAGCGTTCCAGGCTGTTTGGCCATGTTCTTAAGGTTTTTCTTCCTAACGTTTTGCCAGTCCCTGTGGTCGGCATCTTCAGAGGACAGGAGTCAGAACTCTGTCTGTGCTCTGTTCTGACTCCTGTCCTCTGAAGATGTCGGCCACAGAGACTGGTGAAACGTTAGGAAGAAAAACCTTAAGAACACGGCCAAACAGCCCAGAAAACCCACAACAACCATTGGATCCTGGTCATGAAAGCCTTCGAGAATACATTGTCTGATTTCTGTTACATATGATGGAAAAACACAGTTAGGAGCTCGTCATTTATTTGGAAATTGTAAATGTAACCAAAATGCTGATGGGCTCACACAGCTGACATGGAAGCAAGGGAAAGAGTACAAAGGAAAAATAAGAGTGGCAGCACCAGGGTTAATATACTCCCCCTACCCAGGAGATCAGGAAAACATTTTGGGGCTATCAGATCCTGTCATCAACATACTGCCTTTTAGTGGTACTGTCAGACAAAAAGAAAGGAAAACAGAGGTTTTATATCTCTTATAGGGAGACCTGTAGATATGGATCTCTCTTCTGACTGAAAAAGAAAATCCACTAAATACTTCCAAGAGACATGAGGACTTCTGCCTAAATTACACCTAGTATTTACTTCAGACCTCTGGCTGCAATACTACATACTCAAACAGATATAATGCCATGAGTTATGAGTTGATCCAGAAGCAGAAACATAACTATTTCAGCTGGACAACATGAAGATTAAAGACCACTGATTTTTCTTGATTCCTGCCAAGTTCATTTTGTGGAACTGTAACATACTTTCCTTACTTGTAAAGAACACTTGAGAAGATACTTGGAGCCCAGAGATAAGAGTACACTTTGATCTACAGTACACTGAAATGCCATACCTCCCAACCATTACTAAGTATTGTATGGACATGTTCTCGAATTAATTAGCAAGAACATAATGTGGCAAAGTCTAATTTTTGCCTCATTACTAGCCACATTACTATAAATCGTATCTGACTCAAGGCAACTGGAAGTCATCCACATTTTTCATTACAAGATATTCCTAATTAAAGTATGGGATGAACTAAATGAAGGGCCATCTTCGATTATAAAATTATTACAAGGAAGATATACTGTAATACCATGCTGAGTACAGAGAAGAAGCTGAACAGAAGATGTACTGAAATCTTCTAGACATCATCCTGAAAGGTGTCCTTCAGCGTTTTCCACATTTCAGAAATTCATTTCTCACCATGTACAGACAGCAATCCAAGCATGCATTCAGGCAATGTATGAATTCCTACATGCACATTATTTACACACAGTGCTTGTTGAGGTGGGGAAGGATCCAGTAGTGCAACATGATGAAGCTGAAGAGGAACAGAAGTGAGCTTCTGTGGATTGTCATCTGTATTCTCAGTCAATTCCTCTAGTAGTGTATTTACAGCTCTTTCTGCCCCTCTTCCACCAGAGGGAAGAGTATGGAACAGGACTACACACAGCACAAGACCAAAAGAGACTACTATAAAGACTGTCACCCATTGCTAATTATACTTTTTTGTGGATTTAATTGTTAAGCTGCTTTGGGAGACTGTCTTGGCTAAAAAGTAGGTTAACAACAATCAACCAGACACAGGAGAGAAAGGAATTTTACCAGTCTCCTATTTCCCAGCAGATTAAGTCCACAGAAGCTGCTACACCGTTACGTATTTAAAGGAGTGCACCAACTCCTCTCTGCCCATACTGTGCTAATCAGGGTGTAAAGGTAAGCTGTATATGAGTAACAAAGTATTCTGCCTCTATTGCCTGGAGGCTGTTCTTATTCACCAGAGGTGTCTGAACTTTTTTGCTACATTATTGCTTCATTTGGTTCCAAAATCATCAGTGACTCTAAGATATCATCAGCATGGCAGCACAAACCTGACCACCTTGAGAATTAAGACTTAAACAGAAACCAGGTCATCAAAGACGTCAAATTTCATATATGATTCACAAAACATCAACACTTGTAGTTACTTCAAAATCTTGCTTGGAAAAAGCAGTTCAGCAGATCTAGTTGGGAGTAGCTTAACCTATGCTCCACTTTTCCATTAGCATCACTCATACATGGATGTTGCTGCCCTGCCCTGTAATAACCCATCTCTCCACAAAAAAGCAGCATTACACTGATTGACACCATGCTTCAATAAAAATTGCTGTGTTGATTTATACTACCCTTCCAGATGATGTAGGACTGCAACTCCCAGTCTCTCTCATCTCTTGCAACAGCTAGTTTTCCACCCCTGGGTTAGAGAAGAGGTGGGTAATTAATTTCTATAGGGGGCCACATGAAAAATCTGAACTGGAGTGTTCGGGGGCCGAATCAACTTTACTTAAAAATAAAATGAAACAGTGATGTTATGATTGTTTTCATTTTAAACTTGTTAATCTTCACAAATACCAAAGAGGTTTTTTGCCGTATGTTAAAGATAAGCAACCGATCAAGTTAAATAAACTTTAGACAAAAATCTATAAATGGTTTTGATGTTCAAAACTGTCCATGGGCCGGACAAGAATGGCTCGTGGGCCGTTTGTGGCCCTTGGGCCACACTTTGCCCAGGTCTGGGTTCGAGGGTGCTGAAGAACCCACTCTCTCTGACAGAAGCCTCTTATACTCAACTTAATGGCTACTAGAACAATTTTTAAAAGTTACAGCTAAAGCAACCCATGGCAACAGCAGGGAAACCCGTATAGATAAATGGTCACACAAGCTTGTAGTAGCACAGCAGTAGTAGGCAGTGGTGTTCATTCTTTTTTCAGACACACACCCCTTTCAAACTTCTTCACATGTATACAGTAGTCCCCTCTTTCAGTTTGGAGAATCAGTTCAACAAATGTGTTGGTTGAGATTTTATGCCTCACCAATCCTTATGCCTTCTTTTCACCCCCTCCGTTGACATGCAGATGATGGCAAGCCATTAGCAATGTGCTGAGGCTAATGGGAGCTGTAGTCCAATACCTGGAAGAGCCACATGTCGCCCAGCTCTGTGCTAAATTTCAAGAACGACAGGTGTGCATTCTGAGAAGCCACTTCCAGCAGCTGCTTAAGCAAAGGTGCTGAGACACCTTTTCAGATTCAAGCCATATTATGTGTTGTCATAATTTCTGTTCATACACAAGACCTTTGTTTCATTCTTCTGTAAGATAGCCGTTTACTACAGTGCAACTAAAGTAACTGCACACCTTCCTTTGTTCTAAGACCAACCACTCCTTTAATACTGCTTTTCTGGAGGTCCTGCTTTTTGAGGAAAGTCAAACCACCCACCGTGTTTCCCCCTCCCCACAATTGCTTGCACAAAACCAGCATATTTTTCTGTTAGGGTTCTGTCCAGGATGGGAAGCCCTGGAAGCAGCAGCACAAGAGCCGGAGCATGCTTTAGTTTAAGGGCTAGTCCATTTAAAGGAACAGTACACAATAAGCTCGATGCACCTTTCACTCCTGCTTGAAGTTGGTGCCGCAACAAGGGGGAGGAGGGGGGAAGGGGGGGGGGGGGGGGGGCTCCTTTCTGGAAGAGGCCAAGAAAAGTTGCTGACGCCACCAAAGCCTCGTCTAAGCCCCGAGTTAACAGGTAGCGATGGCCACAGATGCGAGACAATAGAAAGCGCGCTCCAGCCCCACCCAGTGAGAAAAACCACTTTCACTCAGGAGGAACACCTTCCCCCGCAAGATACACCAGACCAGACAAAAAAGGAAACCAAGCAACTATGCCCGGGGGGGGGTGAAGCAGAAGGGGTTGGGAACCCCTCATGCCGCCGCCAAGGGTCATCAGGGAAGGGGCAGACGGGGTCCTTTGTTAGGCTGGGAGGCAAAAACGCCCTGATCGGTGGGCGCTGAGGGAGTCTAGCCGTGCTCTGCCTGGTCGCACACCCTGGAAGCCGCCCCCCTCCCGGCCGCTGTTTCTTGGCGGGGGGGAATTAAGGCAGGCCCAGAAGCCCCATCACAGATTCCTCGGCGGGTGCAACCCCCTCCCTCTTGATTGCAAATTGGGGGGGGGGCGGGGGGGAAAGCCTAAAACCAGCCAAAACTACTACAGTGCCCGCGAGAGGAGGAAGGATCCTCTCCTTCTGTCACCACCAACACGCATCCCGAGCCCCGAACAAGGATGACCCTGCAAAAGATCCCCCCCCAAAAAAAAACCTTAAGCGAGAAGAGGGGGCGATTGAGCGACCGGCCCTTCGGGGTCCCTGACAAAAACCGGGTGGAAGCAGGGGCTCCGGCGTACAAAGGAAAGCCCGGGGGGTGGGGGAGAGACGCGGAGGGGAAAAGAAGAAAGCCTGTGCGCCACAGGTCCGGAAACCGCCAGCCGGGAGGCCTAAAAGGGAAAGGAGGAGAGAAGCGTGGGCCGATCGCCCTCCAGCTACGGAGCAGGCCCGGCAGAGGCTTCGCCTGCCTCTCGGGCACCACCACCCCCGACGGGCCCAGGCAGGGGAGGAGGAGGAGGAGACGTGGGTGTGGTGGGCAGCCCGGGCAAAACCCCACAACCTCCTCGCCATGACAATAGGCCACAGCCATGGCCCACCCCAGGAAAAAAGGTGGGGGGGAAGGAGTGCCTGCATCCCAGCGATGGGATCCTTCCCCCCGTTACTGGGGGAGCGGGGAGGGAAGGGGGGAGAAATCTAGGGGGGAAAAGGCCACCGCCAGCCACGGAGAGCGGGACTGAGATTTTCCCCCCTCTTCCTCCTTCCTTCCCAGCGGGATCAGCGCCGGGAGACCCGAGAAAAAAAAAAAGGAAATCCCACCCTTTCCCCCTACCCAAGATTTGTGGGGGGGGGGCCTCACGTGTTCCGTGGCAAGAAGCCAAAGTCAGCGGAAGCCACGGAGGGAGGGAGCTTCTGCCCCTCCCCGCAGAAAACTCCCCTGCCTTTCCCTTGGAGAGCCAACCCCGCAGGAACCGAAGCTTTGGACGACTAGCCCCCCCCCCATTCACACACACACACAAACAACGGACACCCGGGCCGCTGAAGGAGGAGGAAGAGCAAAGAGCGGCTCTGTCAAAGACCGTGGATTCTTTCTGTTCTTCTTCCTCCGTTTCCTTCCCACAAAAAAAGGTCTGAGGGGACCCCGAACCCTCTCGGCATTGTCTTTCGTTCACGTATCCACATGCTCACACACAAACACATGCAAACACGCGGGCCAACCTAGAGCTGCTACGTCCGCTGGGGTCCATCCCCTTAAATGTGGTTGTGGTTGTCATGGCGGGGAAGAGCCGGAATGAAGAAACCGCCCGAGTGACGAGGCTAGCGGAAGATGATATTCCCGCACCTCTCCCTCAGTTGCTGCCGGCGAAAACTGCAGTAGCTGCCCGGCACCAGCATCGCCTTTTATACCCATGGCTCCTCGACTCCTCTTATTGGGCAGTTCAAAATCTTTCTCCCCTTCTCATTAGCCAGTCTTACGCCACTCCAAAGACTATCCCGCCTCCAAACGCCAGACACAAGTACTGTAGTCTCCCCCGCTCCATAAAAAACACTGGTCAACCAATGTTTTTACTTCGCGCTTATTGGTTGTTCTTCGCCTTTCATCCCCTTTGTTTGTGATTGAACACTCTGGCTGTCACTCAAATGAAGTGGTCGTGATTGGCCGAGTGACGCAGAGGCAATAACAACTCTGTAGCCTTTCTTCATAGAACGGCAATTTAAGGGGACTCCTTTATAGGGAGTGGCATAGCTTGCCAAGGGAGGACTGTCGGGCGTTACTTGTGAGCCGCCCAGGAATCATGTCCAAGAGAGCAGGCCACCCAATAGTAAACTAGGCTTAACGTTTTCTCTTGTTTTTGTGTTGTTCTTTGATACGAAATTTTAAGTTGTATCTCACGCAGCGCAGGACTGCGGAGTCACTAGTACTTCGCTCACTGCCAGCACCTCAGACCGCTATTGCTGCTCATGGTTGGTACTTCTGAAACAAAGTACAGTAGTATGAACGGATATAGGAATATCACTTTATAAACTAAAAATATTTGTCTTGTACAATTGTTTCACATTTGACTGGTTCTGCAGTCTGTACCAGCCCTTCATTATATTTACCAAAGGGGGATTAAAAAAAAAGAGTAGGTGTCTGATCTAATCAGCGTTGAGTAGCCATAAAACAAAGACAGACCTCCTAAGAGGGAAAAGAAGGATCAGGAACTTTCTAGCCGGGAGGAGAGGGCACATCACAGCATTTAATTACTGGCTTCCCCAATGTGGTATCTGATGTTCAGGTGATTGGTCGTCTTATGCTTCCTCATCCTTTATTGCTGGTAAGCACTGCTGCTGTGGTTTGTCACCAAGAACATCTACAAAGGCCCAGATTTGGGGATAGAGCTTCCAGACACTTTTTAAAGCAGTTTTATCCCAGAGGCAGATAAAACCAGCCCACAGTCATCCTTTTTATCGTCAGAGGAACCACAATTCCATTTCTACCTCAGTATGCTTTGTTAGGTAGTCTGATATCAGCAGGCATACTGGTGATTTTGCAACAAGTCTCCTTTCTTGATACTAAATGTAACCACAAACAACATAGTTAAAACTTCTGGCAAAATTTGTGGAGTTCCATGTGCCCCCCCACCCGTGCTTGCAATCTTCTGGACCTCTTTGCCTGCTGAAGAGTTCAGAATAGCTTGAAAACTTTCACTTTTAACATGGCTATGGATTCTGTTACATTTTAGATACACAGATTTCAGCTGTAATCCTATACAGTACAAGGAAACACATCTGATGTCAATAGACTTAATTCCGAGTAGCCATGTATAGGAAAACATTTTCACAGGCAAAATTCGAATACCAGCAATTTCATATAAATCAAAACTAATAAGAAAACTGCTGAATGAGACTACATCTATATTATTAATCAAAGCAGTATTCAATTTTTAAACTTTATCTCATGTATTCTCCTTGAATTGCCTTTCTCACATCTAGTGTTTAGAAATTCGTATTAGCGTGTTAAATAAAACTACATTTGAAAAACACATAAACTTAGCCGTCTATGAAACCACTGGGAAAGTGGGGAGTGGAGAATCCAGAAGGCTGTATGTTCAAAGACAAGACAAAAATGGCTGTTTTGTGAATCTTTGCACTTTTCAAACTATAATTTTTAATTTGCATGTATGTTTCAGGCCATATAGCTATATTATGTTGCCAAGTTAAAACAAACAAGAGTATTATAGTCTTCTTTCAAGGCAAAAGTATTCTGATCTGACCTATTAGTAGTATGTGGAAGGACTGCATCAAATCTCTCTACCATACTTCTGTAACATAATCCTAGGAAAAGGTTGTAAGGTAAATCAGATTTAATTTTTTTTTCAGCAGAAACACTAGAATTGCTCTCTAACAGATGGTCAAGAGTCATCTTGCAAAACACTCTTTTATGTATCTTTCTATTTACTTCTTCAAACTGAGGAATTGTATCTGGTAACATCTTAAGTTAAAAGTCTTCAGTAAAAAGAAAGTAATCATCAGGTTTGAAGTCAGTAGAGTTAAATAAGGGGAAAGGAATTTAAACTGCCTGTCAAAATACAATCTCCATTTCCTAAAAGCTGAATTCATGTACTTTGTTTTGAGATAATTGCCCTCTTTGGCATCTTTTCCCTTGAGCCCCATCATGTGATTCACACTTCTGAGATGGGGTGAGAAGAGAAACAGCCATAATCCCACCATACACATTAGTTGTGCTTAGCACCTAGTGACTATTTCCCGAAGACCATTATATTAAACCTATTAAGCAGGAAGCTGCAATCCTTAGTTCTTTTTTCATCTTTCAGGTGTGTCTCATTCATGCTATTGAAAAATGTAAGATACTGTTCCAATTACTTGTAGGTTTGTGCTGGTACTTTTTGTGTGTCTGTGTGCACACACTAACAGGTAAAATTCTGTTGATGTAAACCATACACAACAAGCGTTATAATTTCCACAACATATTTGATAGTGGCTGAATATGAAAAATTTAAGGCTGAATGAAAGGGAGCCAAAACTCCAGTGTTTCATGTTTCCTTCCTGTGACCAAGGAAACAAATCTAGAAACTGCGAGTTGTAGATAACAGAAAATGGAAAAGACATCACAAAGTATTTCTCAGCGTCTCACTGCTATTGCCACAAATAAATAATACTGTTTCTGAAGCTTCAGAGACTACAGTAAGTCATTTACTTGTTTGGGAAAAAAAGGATTGTTTTTTGAAAGGAGTTCACATTGCCTCTTTGTTTAACCAATACAGTAAGTGGTTTGGTTGGTAACTATGTAAATTCAATCAGCACCATTTCTGAAATACACGTGAGGTAACTTTATTACATACCAAGGGGAGGACAAAATTGCAAACCATGATACTGTACAACCTAACAGCTGCCTGTTATATGAAACACTTCAGTTAACTTGAGACTGCATCAATAAACAAATGATCTATTGCTATGTCCTACTAGTTAACTCTACCTTTGGGATGGAAATACTTTTCAGATTTAAAAAAGGTCACTTTTTAAACATTCCATTCTTCAGGAAAGTTTTAAAAATGGATTCAAACACATGAAAAACTCAGCCCTTAAGATGAAGGAAATGTAGTTTGTTATGAAGACATACCTTGCAACAGTTCAGAGCTCCAAATTTGCTGATTCTGGGATCCTGGTAGAACCAAGGCATTGGTCACTTATCACTGGATAACTCTCCCCTCTGCATTCAATATTACATTACTGAAGCATCTCTTCTATTTCTCCTTCAAATTCATCTCGGGCACCTCAATGCTATAGACTGATTTTAACAGCAGAAGCAGAACATGTGTATTTGAAAGAGTGACCCTTACATCTTGCTGAACTGTCAACAGGCATCTTATTTGCACCATGATTATGAGCCTGGATTGACAGTTCTGTACCAGGAACCTGTGAAGGTCTCTATGAAATTACATAAGGGACAGGAGCAGTTTAAATGCTTTGGTGCAGTGGTGTTGTGGCAACAAAGAGGCAGCTGCCTATACTGTATTGCTGTTTCTGAAATGACAACTTTCTAATACAAATAACAGCACCTACTGGGTTTTCATACTGAAGATTTATACTTTCACATATGCTGTGTTTATACTGGATCATAACACTGAGTGGAACCAACCAATGTTTCTGCACTATTTTCTTCTGAAATATTTCCCCAGTCCATGACTACTTGTGCTGTTTTAAAATGATACCATCCAAAACAGGATTCTCTACTATTTTTATCCTCTGTTAAATATAGGAATTTTGCTTCTCCTAGGTAATTTAACATTTCTATTACAATGAATAGTACTTTTTATAGAAATAGTACTTGATATTTTACACATCCCTTCCTTCCCTTGCAATTTATTCAATATAAATCAGCAACTCTGGAGCTACCATTAGCTCCCAAGTAAAAATAGATACTTTGTGTTTCCCTTCACTGAATTAAAATCCATAGGAGGACTGGATTATGGATCAGATGCATTGCAAGTAGTCTAGTTCTATTTTTTTTTCTAAAATAGTTGTCTTACTTATCAATATAAATACATTTACAATTGGGATTAAAAAACACAAACAGCTGCACAAGTAAATCAAATTAAACATTTAAATCTGTCCATTTACTTCAGAAATCTTGTCTGTTGCCAGTGCAAGAAGAGCTGTTCAAATAATCTCCCCAAAGAGAAACTAATCAGTCTCTAGACTTCTTGTACTTTTTCTATTTGTATAAACAGTAGAGAGAAGCATAACAACTAGGTACAAAATCTGATGGAACAGCAAGCAGCTAGTGGATTCTCTGTCTGCCATGCTGCTGAATGGTCATTACAGCACCGAAAAATAAGCTGTTTATTTTAAACAAGAAGTTTATTTAAACAACAAGACGGAAGGGAAAACTATCCAAGTTCAAATTTTTGTTTAGAGTAATTTCTCCCTACTTCGACAGATTGCTCTACATGTAACAGCTACGTACAAAAAAGTTATAAAATCGTCCTTGGTTGTACAACGATAAAAGAAAAACATTGAAATTATCCAATCAAATAAGGTATGCAAGGTTTTTGTTTTTTTCTTCAACATTGAGAGCAAAATAACTTACTGGAATATAAAGATAAAAGTTAGAGGAGCATGCCACTAATGGAAAAATGGGGTATTTTCACAGACCAGTTTGTTTTTACCACCCCATCTCCATATGATGTTGATCAAACATACCATTGGCCATTTAGTTAAAAAATGCATGTCTGTGCACGTACACCAATTACGTTATGTACAATAGAAGGAATAGGAAAAGAAATCAAAGAAGAGAGAAAGCTATACTGTAGTAGTCAGATGTGGCTGAACCAAGTCTCATTTTTCTAATTGTGAATGTGTTGTCTGTGGAAAGGAAGTTTGCTTCTCTCTTTTAGTACACTCCTCCTGTCTGCTGCTGGAACACATCAATTGTATCTTCATCCTCCATTTCCAACTGTATAATTGAAAAATTTACAAAACAATTATTTTTAGATATCTCATTTGTTGTAAAAAGCAACAATAAAAAGCAACAATACAACAATACAAAGAAAGCCTAAAGATCAGTTGTTGCAGCAACACACATCTCCAGTAACGGGAACCTGATATACAGATTTCTGCTGTATAACTATCTACTTGGTGATAAGGATGGAGACATATCACCTTATTTGTTGTTGGATTGCTGCATTCATCAGATCTCACCACTGACAGGCTGGCTCAATCTGATGGGAGCTGCAGTCTATGACATCGGAACATGTTCCTGATCCCTTCATTAAACTCAACCACATCTATGTTAGAAAGCAAGGCTTCTATTCTGTTCACCTGTCAGAGCCAATGGGTTAGCTCTAGACAAACAGGAACAGAATTGTGTCTACACAGGGAGTGTTTCCTGGCTTTTCCTGCTCTCTCAGGCTCCTCTGAATACATCTAAAACTACATTTGAGGGTTGAAAGATCAAAATAGCAGGTAACAAGGTACAGGAGGCTGTAGCAGGACATAGGCATAGACAGGCTTATTCAGCATTAATTTTTGCAAACTGTATTTTTTTAGTCATACATGCATCCCTATGTTCATTTATCAAGACTAAACACAGCAGCAGCAGGCATGGGTGGGAATAACACTCAAAGTATTAACCTACAATTAGAGCTAAGGCATTTAGATTGTACAGGGAGTAAACAGGTTGAAGTTATATTTAAAAGTTATGTAAACTGTACTGAGAACACAATTGTAGAAAGCTGGACAAAAATCTTTTAAAAAGTTGTATTTGACAGTTATACAGTTTACAAAAATGTTATTCCCCCCACCAATTTGTTTTCTAACAGAAGTCTTTAACAGTTGCACACCTCTCCTAGAATTCTGCCAATGTAATGAACTATAAACACCAGGAGTATGAGAACAGTTTATTAATAAAGCATTCCTTCCTTGATATTTTTGTCTTGTTTTCCATTTTTAATAAAAAGGATTATTTATTCACTTTTTTTACCTGTGCAGGTGTGTCTGTTTCATTGATTGGCTGCCCATCAAACCGGAATCTGATTTGCCTCATTGACAAACCCTACAAAGAAAAATAATAAACTAAAATGCTACTTATTTGAATCAAACACTATTCATTCTCTTCATTCTCCTAACACACATACAGTATTTGTATTTCCAAAAAATATTCCAGAATGCAGCATTGAAGCGTGGATTAAACATTACAACAAAGATGCTCAACAGCACCCCTAGTGGGAGCACCAAACATGTACAAAATCATTGGATAACTAAATCTTTGGGAATCAAAAGCAGTGACTGAGATAAAGTTTAAGCAACTGTGAGTAGGCATGACAAAAAGTAGGTTAGTAAGTCTCAACATATTAATCACAAAAATATTTTCCTATATTAACAGAAGAAATTCTCCAGGATTATTGTACTGCATTTTAACTTTTTGACAAACAGAAAATAGCTACTGTTGCAATACTATTCACAAAATGTGGGTTCTGCAGATCCAGCAATGACATACTTACTATACAAGACATTTTCCTCATTTCTACTGACTTAAACACGCTTGCTTTTTTGTCTTGCTTGTAAATAAATAAATGGATTTCATTTTAATAACTAAAACTCTATTACAGATCTTTGATTTTTAAGAAAGGTTACATTTATTTTCCAACTACATGCCTTTAAAACTTCTATAGTAACTTATCCTGTTGGACTACTGCCTACTGATATACAGTTCTCAATAAGCCACATTTTTAATACAGTAATACATGACAAACCATAATTTCTAACATTTCTAGTGTGTGAGGAGACAGGATTAAACACAACTTGAGATGGCCTTCAGATACACTAGCTATTTAATGCAGTTCACATTAAATCAAATTTACTCTTACACATTTCTTACTAAAAGTTCTGCCTTATATTTGGAGATTATGCCACTTGTAGTATCAATTTTTATCTTCTGATTTGTTTTACGTTTAATCTTATTGTTTGTCATGTATTATGTTGTAAACTACCCAGAATAATGCTTTCCAGTAATGGTGCTGTACATACATCTAATAAATAAATCCAATCCTAATTTTAAAGCATTGTATTTTCGTCAATTTATGCTACTTCCAGCAGCAGAGAATCTGCTGATGCGAACTTAGGCAGATTGTCACATCGTCGTCATCTTAGAACTTCAGAGCTCGAAGGGACCCTATGGAGTGGGGAATTGAACTTCCTACCTTGGGCTCCATAGCCAGATGCCTAAGCTACTGAGCTATCCAGCAGCTCACTGGCTAACTCAGAATGGGCAACCTCCAAAAGTTGTTCAACTGCAACTCCTTCCAACCCTAATACAATCAATAACGCAGGATTACTAGACTTGACATCTGGTCATCCTATTGTAGCTAATCACCATATCTGAAGGTGGAAAGAAATATAAAGGTAAGAGTGACAATCTTGGGATTTAAAAAAAAAACAGCCAGGATCCACCATTCTGTCTTATCAGAATGAATTCTCATTAGGACAGTGTCCAACTTGCAAAAGGGTTGGAATTTATCTGCTCTGGAATTTATTCTTGTTACACAATGGTCCCAAACACCTGGAGCATTTCCAAAGCTCAGCAAAATCCAGACATGGTTCATACCTCCTCCCAAGGTTGCAGCCTGAGAGGAACACAGGCTAATCCTGCAGCCTTGTTGTACTTTTAAGTAGTTGGGTCTAATCAATGTTGCCACTGCAAGCACTTCTGGACTTACCATGTGACACACATTATTAGGCACTGCTTCCCCTAACAGACTGCCTTCCTACTTTTAATCCTTGCTCTATTTAAGCCCACTGTCCCCAGAAACCTGTTGGTGTTTGTGTAACATCTGTGTAACTTGACATGACTAACTGCTAAGATGCTGTGCTGTATCTTGGTTGCACAACTGGGCAAATAACTGGGCATGTGTCTGAAACACACTGTGTCATTACAGCAATTAGCTGTAGCAGCCTACATAGAACTTAGGAAATACCAAAAAGGACTTTGACTACTGTTGCTTTTCTTAGTCTGTATTATATTTAAGGCTACTTAAGACTATAAATACAGAATATCTAGCTTCCATCAGTTCAACAACCATATTAGATGACTGGAATTTTTCTCTTTCTGGCCATTTCATGAAAGGCTGCTAGACAGTGGTTGTGACACATCTGAAGAATATAGCTTTACTGCAAATAGAAAGATGGAGAACAATGCTCTACCGCCGTGGTCCCCAACCTTGGGCCTCCAGATGTTCTTGGACTACAACTCCCAGAAGCCTTCACCACCACCTCTGCTGGTCAGGATTTCTGGGAGTTGAAGTCCAAGAACATCTGGAGGCCCAAGGTTGGGGACCACTGCTCTACGGCATAACCATACCACAACGCACAGAAAGTAAGGAAGCCAGAGAAAAAGACTATACACTTTGTTGGGCATGAGCTCATCACTGACTATACTAGCACTGCTCATAAGGCCAACTTAACTACAACCGTTTTCACAACTTTGCAACAAAGGGTGCAAATAGGCCAATTATAGCAATAGCCATTTTTAAAACACTGCAGCCTAACTAGGGAACAATACTAGTTTATACATCTTCTAAACTTAAGTGATATGTCCTAAGCAAGCTAATATAAGTATCAGGCTAGAATTAACTTTGGACACCAGTTAAGTATCACTTCTGCCCTTACATGACTTCAGAGTATCCAACATGCTTTAGATCTTAATGCTAAGATTCCTATGTCACTCTTAAGTATATATTTATTCACATTTTGAGTTACTGGGAGTGAGTAGTCCTCAAGTTCTGAAAAAAAATGAAGTAAAAAAAGACATACCACAGTGTAATTTTATAATAACAAAACACCACACGATAGGCAGAATAGGAAACTACATTGTTTGGGTTTCAAGTAATCCATTACATAAATGCTAAAGTAAAGATATCACTGTTCCAAAGTTTCTGAAAAAGACATTGTGAATAGTAGTTTTCTCAAATTTAGGAACTGTTCACTTTACATTTTTCAAGTTATAGATTCAGGTTCTTTACATCCTTCAGAGCATACATGTGGATGTTGAACTATGAGCAGAAAGGAGGCCAGTACATTCACTGTGTCTTCAGTTAAGACTGACTATAAGGTAGGCATGGTGCTTCACTGTCCCAGAAATAACACAATGGCTGTTCCAAAATAAGCTATCTGCTCATCATCTCAAATGCATATAGAAACATTATGCTAATTAGAATTTTGAAAAACCATGACCCAGAAAAGCTGAGGTTAATATTGTCAGCATCAACTTAGGCATGCTTCTTGCTGGTAGCCTCTACCTCATTCACCAGGCTAGTATCTTCAAAGAGCATAGTATAATCCGATGCACTTTCATTTATACACATTCATTGCAGAATAAGATACTTCTGTATCCTATCAATGGCATGGAGATGCCCAGAAACATTATTACAGTTTTCTCACCTGTCGTTCACAATAAGCTTTCATTAGTTTGCTAAGTGGTGTATGCCTTTTAATCTTAAACTGCACCACAGATCCATCTTGACCTGCAACCTTCAGATTAATGTGATCATTATTTTCAGTTTTTACTCCTTCCTGAAAGGGAAGAAAAACAGAATGATTTTAAAGCCAGTAAGTTTTCAGGTTAACTGTTCAGACTGCATTCTTCAAATCTAAAGAACAAGTCACTACAGTTGTCAGTTTCAGAAATGTAATTGAATAGTTATTAGCTTGTAGATATTTTTTATTATGCTGCTATGAAGTAACAATGGATCATGGTAGCATGGACAGTTACAGCACTGTTAGCAACTTCAATGCTTATTTCTTTCTTAACACATTTAATGTGCTGTCTTTCTCCCAGCACTGAGACACAAGGTGGCTTAAATACAATTTTAGAAACAGTATTGCTAGAACACAAGTTTGAAATACTGTACAATTATATTCATTACAATATGAAAACACAATTAAAATAAGAAAACATTAGAACACTTCAGTAAAAAAAAAAGACATGCCATAATTTACACTGAGCATACCCAGTTCCAGACATCTTGTCATTAGGCTGTCAGCTATTAAAGGTCTGTCTGTATGAAAAGTTCTCAGCCTCCTGTTAGACATTTAGACAAGGAGGGGCCACTCTAGCCTCGTTTGGCAGGTAGTTTGGCATGGCCACAAAAAAAGGCTGCCTTTTCCATCCTCAACAAAGGATTCTCAGAAGGTGGTGGACCCAAAGAAAGGCCTCTCCTGCCAATTTCAAAGTCAGGGAATGTTTGTATGGGAGAATTTTGTCTTTCATGCTTACATTTTGAACTAAAATTAGTTCTTTTGATTTCCATACCACACAGCATTTTCAATACAAGATAATACTTAAAACTAATAAACATATTTTATTAACCTTGCAGTCAGACAGGTCCTTGGAACTCACTGAGGATTATGTCTCAGAAGACATATATACTACTGTATTGTAAACTACCCAATGAAATTAACCAATATGGCTAGTTTTCTGTACTAAAAATAACCTGTATAGTCAATCAGCATTCAAACACAAAGTCTTGCTTACTCTTTATAAGGAATGATTTTAAAGGTAAAGACAACAGTATGCAGTTGTAAAGAACACAACAGTTAATTTTAACCTTCTAAGGAAATCTACATACCTATATTCTGGAACTCTGGCTTCTAACATGCTAATTACCAATATATCTCTTCCTTTAAGTCAAGCATTCTAACATAACTCTCTTACCATTATCTATGTTATATCCCCCTCATTTTTTAACATTCTGAAAGCACAGATCTATCTAGTCAAAAAAAATCAGTAACTGCAAGAAAGGCCCATTAACAGTACCTCTTCAACAAGCTTAACTGTTTTAACTCTATTCTAGAAGTCCATGAGAGACATGAAAGGCAGAGATCTTGAATGGTTCCCTTTAATGATTGAGTAGAAAGCAGAGAAACAATCCCCAAAAACTGGACTGCCCTGCATTTTCCAAATGTACAATCTACAAGTTTGTGTCTGGAGCTATTTCACTCAGCAAACTACTGAGACATGTTGAGAGAGAAGATGCTCCCATTCCAGCTCAAAAAGCATCACTTAACATAAGAATACCTCCCTCACAGCCTCAGGGAACACCTTGCACATCCATTCCCATCTGGCTCACAGTTTGCAAAACTGCTCCATCAGGTAAAAATCCACACAATTCCTGTACTATTACCAAGGTTTTGCCAGATCTCCTTTAAAAAAAACCACACATTACTACAGCAATGCCAGACTCCATGCACTTTTGCTGCCTTTTTAAAAGGTTGCTCCACTCAACCGCTTTAAACGGCAAAGCCCCGTTCCTGGCACAAGATCCTGCAAAGAGTCCTGGAAAAAGAGGACGGGTCTTTGAAGCAGCCAAGATTTTGGCGCCTCCAAAATCACATTTAAAACAAGGCGTAGGAGAGGAAAAGCCGAACCACCGGCTGCCCGTTCACTCCCCCAGAGAGGAAACGGGGAGGGGAGAGGGGGAGAAGAGAAGAGAGGAGTTCCCTGCGGCTCGACCACTCTGGGAGCCCCAGCATATGAGGCGGGCAGCAGCGGAGCGACACAAAGAGGCCTTTTTGGATCTCCCCAGTCAATAAGGCTGCGGATGGCGCCCAGGACATGAGGGACTAGCGCCCCTTCCTTTTCCCTTTGAAAGAGGAAAGGGGGACGGGTGTGAGGGAAGGAAATACCGCCCGTCCCGTGGAAAGCGAAGGAAGTCTCTCCACTTTCAGCCGGGGAAAGCCATTCCCTGTCCCCCGACACGGCACCCCGGTTCCTACCGTCTTGCCCTCAGGAAAAGAAGCGAGGGAGGGAGGGAGGAAGCGGGGGAGGGGAGGAAAATGGCGCGCAAGAACCGGCGCGGTAGCACCAGGGTGGCTCGCTCGCTCGCGCTCTCTCTCCTCCTCCCTCCCTCCCTCCCTCTCTCCCCAAACCTGAACCCCCAAATGCCGGTTTTGCCGCCTCTCCCTCGCTAACCTTGGGCTTCTCGTCAGCCATGGCGAGTCAGCGGGGTCTCTTCCGCGCCGAGCACCTCGTCGCAAGTCGGGGGGACGGAAAGATGAAAAAGGCGACCGCGACGGCCGAGACAGAAAGACTGGGGGAGGGGGCGAGTGAACGCGCACGTACGACCGCGGGGCCGCGCCTAAGCTTGCGGGAGCGCGCACGCTCTGCCTTCCCCTCCCCCTCCTCTCGCCGCCCCATTGGGCCGCTGCCGGCGAGAGCGCGCAGCGCCGTTACATAACGAAGAGGGGAACGGCGAAGGCAGGGCGAAGTCTGCGTGCGTGCGCGTACCCCGGGGCGCCGTTCGCGCTCCTGGCCAACGTGCGCGCACCCCGCGGGGAGCTGCGAGCTTTGCTCTCGCTCGTGCAGAGGGTATTGTCTTTTCAAAATGGCCGTCGGGCCTGTGAGACTGCAGAGGTGGCTACCTAGCCAACATGTCTTTTTAAACAAGTTTCAACTTGCACATAAAGTACATGGTTTCACTGTACAGTGTACCTTTTTCCTTCTTCGTTGTGCTTATTCATTTGGTTTAAAAACAAGGCACACTTTTCCTGGCTGTTTCTGTGTATGTCCATTTTACCTGTTACACATGTTCTTCATCTGACCTCGCCCTATTTAGCTGCCTTTTCCTCCAGACATTTGCTTTAGTCACTTTTAACTATTCACATAAGTTAATGCAGGAAGAAAGCTTAAGGGTCAGTCTCTTCATAGTCCACTAAATAAGCTAATGCATGTATACCAGCCTCCTACAGAAACTTAACAGTGCAACAACACTAGCCCAGTTGCAGTATATCACTGGTCTGTTTTCTCTGTACAGAGAAACTGAGTTGGTGAACTTTATTATTTTTTACATTTTCAAGGACTGCCAATTTGATGGGAGGGGCTGGAAATGGAAATGTCTCCATTGCTTACAGTGCCTTCCAGATGTGCTGAAAATCTAAGGATCCCTAGCCAGGATGGCTACTACATACAACAAAACAATTTAAAATGTTTATACATGGTAAAATTTGAACCTCCCTATATAACTGGTGAGAGCCAGCACAATGTACTGTACTGGATGGAGCATTGGAAAAGGACTCAGAAGACCTCAGCTGAATCCCCTCTTAGGCATACAAACTCATTAAGAAGCATCAATAGTAAATCACTCCTTCAGTATTTATTCCTTGAGAACTTTATAAGGGTTGCACTAAGTTGGAAGTGACTTGATGGCATATATCAAAAGTGCTCGTCTTTGAAACACAGCACCAAATTGAGTCCTATCATCTACAATAATTATTTTCACTTTATTGTTCCATTCCTATTTTCACAACAGAGCTGACAAACACCTATTACATCTACACAGGGATATGGCAAAGTGAAGGTATAAACATACAAAAGGTAAATCTATTGGTTCCGGGAGCCTAGACCTTCTGTGGTCCTGGTACAGCCAAAGGCTACTAAATACTGTATCAGTGCAATGTTGGTGCAGCTTATTAAATGCAGTCATCAAGCACAGGACAGAAGACAAAAAAGCATACACCAGAGAAAGGGGAGAACTGAGTGTAAGAAGGAGGGACAGAGAGAGACCCCTCTCTCAGGAGTGCCATCCCTCCCGCCAACCGCTGAGAAAGAGAGCCAGACCACACCAGTTCCCCCATCCTGGAAGACAAGACCTCCTGGACATGACTCGGGGAATTTGAAATTTGAAAGGACTAATGATTGCGGAACCCGGAACTACCTTGGCGGGCACGGGAAATAGTGGAAGCAGGGATGGGGAATATAAAAAGGGGGAAGGAGAGTTGCCAGTAGGCTGGGAATGGATCTGTGTGGAAGATCCATGGACTGGAAAGACAGAAAAACTACCAGTCCCCAAAGAAGAGGCAGATGCCTGGAGGAGACGTGAACTCAACCCCAAACCATCCTACTGGGGTGAGCGTGAAACTAAAAGTGGAGGAGGAAGTTAAGAGAGGAAAAAGTGGAAAGAGAACAAAGGGAGAAGTTAGAACAGAGAATATGGGAGAATCAACAGAGGAAATTTTTGAAGTCCCATGGCAGACGGGGGAACCCACTGGGGAGTGTGACTGGGTGGAAGTTCAAGAGGAGGACACCATCCCCCTGCTGGAAGGAGAGGAGGGACTATTACTGAACACAAAATAAGATGAAAAAAATAAACAAATTAAGAATTAATAAGAAAATAAATCAATCAGTAATAAATAAATCAAATACTGTAATAATGAAAATGATGATGATAATGATAATGATGACGACGACGATGACGACGACGACGACGATGATGATAATAATAATAATAATAATAATAATAATAATAATAATAATAATAATAATAATAATAATAATAATAATAATAATAATAATAATAATAATAATAATTCTCTAGTGAGTGACTATATGTGGTTTCTTCAGTCTTCTATATCTGCTGTATTCAGATTCAAATGTCTGTATTAACAGTTCTTTAACCTTTAATCTTCTTCTAAACATGAATTGTCCTGAACATGAATGGAACATTGAAGAACACGAACTGTTCTTCTCAACATGGCTTCTCTTGCCTACTCCTTGCTGCTAAAGACCTGGCAGCGCTTCCTCTTGCATAGCCGAGCCACATTTGGCTTGAGGGAGGAAGCAGCTGAGACCCTCAGTATGGCTTGAAGATGATCATCAGTCAGTCTGGACCTGTACTTGGACTTATTGAAGTTCAAGGTGGAGAAGAGCTTTTCGCACAAGTATGTGCTCCCAAAAAGGCACATGGTCCGCCTGAACATTCAGGAAAGCTCAGGGAAGCTGGGGGTCAATGGTCTCAAAAATTGCCCAAGCTTGTCTGCTTTTTCACACACCCCCTTCCTGAACTTTGCTTTGAGTTCAGAGTTGCACTGCAGGTCAGTGAGCTCCATTTGAAGCACAGCAGGGGCATCTTGCACATCAACGGATAAGGGGTCCGCAAAAATTGTAAATGTGGCTCTGTGCATCTTGAAGTCTGCAAATCTGTGATCAAATTCCTCCTGTAGCTTCAAAATGACATCAACATACTTCTCACCACTGAATGGTGTGCCTGCATCCACGGGTGCTTTGCATGCTGGGAAATGGCAAAGGTTTGTCTGAGAGAGCTGGGCTTTCCATAACACAAGTTTTGTGGAGAATGCTCCCTCGTTGTCATAGGGAGCACTGACAAGTTGCCCCTGGCCTTGTAACTTCTTGTTCAGTACATTAAGCTCATGTGTGATATCAACAAGAAAAGCCAAGTCCATGAGCCATTTGGGATCACTTAGCACAGGAACAGCCACTCCATCCTTCTCCCTGAAGGCTTTCACGTCTGCTCTCAACTCAAAAAAATCTCTTCAATACATTTCCCCTGTTGAGCCAACGTACCTCGGTGAAGTAGAGCACATCCCCATATTCTGACTCCATTTCCTCTGAAAAAGCCCGGAACCTTCGGTGCTTTAAGCCCCTGGATCTGATTTGGTTGATGTATTTCACAACGACAGACATCACATTGGCAAACTTCAGCCCTTTGCTGCAAAGGGCCTGCTCCTGCTGATGGATAATGCAGTGCAGAGCAATGGCTTCCTCCACACACTCCTCTTCCAGTTTTTTTTTTAAACAAACGCCACCAGTCCATTTTTCCTCCCTGTCATTGAGGGTGCTCCGTGAGTTGTTATTCCAACAAACGTCTTCCATGGCAAACCGGCATTCTCAATGGCATCACACAGCTGGTGAAATATCTCCTGAGCGGTGGTCTGTCCATGCATTGGAATTACTGTGAGCAACTCCTCCATCACTTCAAAATTGTCATCAACACCACGGACATACATTGCGAGCTGGGCAGTGTCGGTGATGTCTGTGGTCTCATCAAGGGGGACTGAGTATACACCGAAATATTTGGCTTTCTCACACAGTTGGTGATAGATGTCACTTGACAGGTCAGAAATGCGCTCTGCCATGGTGTTGGCAGAAAGGCTGATGTTGCTAAACCGGCATTTCTTTTCCGGACAGAGCATACTTGCAGCCTGTAATATGCACTTTTTGACAAATTCACCTTCTGTGAATGGCTTTCCTGCTTTAACAATCATCTCACTAACCACATAGCTAGCTTTCAGTGCTGCATTATTCTCTTTGGTTGCTTTCTTGAAGAAATCTTGTTGCCTCGGTAGACATGTTTTAAGATTGGCAACCCGGTTGGCTCTCTCATCTCCCATGTATTTTGCATACTCCTTGGTACATCTAGTTATGTAATGATGTTTCAAATTGTATTCCTTGTGCACCGCAATTTTCTCTGTGCAAATAAGACACGTCGGGGTGCCCCTGTGCTCAACGAAGAAATACTGCATTTCCCACTTTTCCTGAAATTGTCTGTGCTCATCACCAACCTTTGTCTTCAGTGCAGGCTTTGAAAAAGACATGTTTTGGGCTGTGTAATATGTGCTGGCTCCATGTGCGAACTGGTTGGGGGGCAGGGGCACCCCCGTGCTCGCGGGTGAGCGTGTCACACTTGCAGAGGGGCGTGTCGTGCTTGTGTGCATGCACATGAGCACAACACGGCCACTCACTTTCAAAATCTGCCTAGCTTCTAATTTTTAGAAGCCATCCGGGAGCGGGAGCAGCAGTGGTGGCACCTACTTGGCAAGCGTGGGGCTTCCTCCCCGCCTCTTAGGGGCTGGGTCCCACCTGCCCCCCCCCGAAGCATCCATGCATCCAGAAGGGGAGCCCTCTCCCTGCCCGGCAGTCTTCTCCCTCAGGGATTTGGCGCCACCGGGGCTTCTGCTTTTAGGTCTCTCTCTTCCCCCACACTCTGGGGGGGCGGCTGCTGTCGCCTTGTCCTCTCTGCGCTTCTCCTTCCTCCCACCTGGTACTCCTCCGCTGCTGCTCCCGCTCCTTAAAATTTCATATTAAGGCGGGGGCCACAAACTATCATCCCACAGGCCGCAATTGGCCCCCAGGCCGCGAGTTTGAGACCCCTGCCTTAAAAGATGCTCAATAGATAGCCAAATCCTAGTTCTCCCATTAGATACCCATGAGGAAGTCAGCTCCACTCCCTCACTTCAAATGTAATCTATGTCTTGGCAACATCTCCCATAGCTAGGGGTTGTGTGGAAGAAGTAGCATTCCCTCTTTCAAATATCTGGTGACCTCTCAAAAGCCTCACTATTGGGAACAATCAGCCAACTACTTCATTTCTATGGTAACTTATTATTTGCAATTTACCCGACAAAGGCTGACCTTAGCTAACCAGTTTGACGGCTTTAGCAGTCCTATAGTTATGCAGACCCCCCCCCTTAGAATCATAGCTGCAATGGAGATTGAAGGTCATCTTGTGCACTGCTGGGCAGATTTTAGCTGTTCTGGACCTTTTTTTATAGACTCTCCAGAGGTTGGTGCAAATGACACAATAAAAATCAAAGAATGTCAAGCACAGGAGGCCTCAGAATTCTGCATGAAAGAACTGTGAGTTGTGCTCAGTTCTGAACTTGGAAGCAACTACTTATCAGTAACTACATTACTTTTGGGAGGTCAACTACTGTAATGTCAAGAGTAGTTATAAATTATAGTAAAAGCAAGGTCACAAATAGTTTAAGCTAACTTATTGGCCATTACAAATAACTGGAGGCCCTTTCCTTTTATTTTCCCATTCTGCTGGTAAAGACAACACAACAGTAGGAACCCAGCAGAAAAATTACACCAGTCTAAATGTAAGCAGCAGATTCCTGCAAGTTAAGAAGCTGGCATATACCAAGTCAAGTGGCTGGTATATAACAGCAAATACCTACATCAACTTCTTGTGGCAATTTGCCATTGAGATTTACACAAAAAAACTCAAACTCTCAGGTTTCTGGCCAATACATTATTAAGTCACAAAGGAAATATTTGTGTGATCAAAGTAAGGATAAGAACAATGTGTCTGCCAATTATTTAGCCAAATTTTAAAGGGGGGGGTCATGTTGTGAGGCTCCTTCAGCATCTATGCCCCTACAATTTTTATCCCCCCCAAAAGGTCCAGTGGGTATACCCAGTGTGGTATAGTGGATAGAATTATGGACTTGGACTCTGGAGATCCGGGTTGGAATCGCCATAGAAACCCGCTAGAGCAGTGGTCCCCAACCTTGGGCCTCCAGATGTTTTTGGACTTCAACTCCCAGAAATCCTGGCCAGCAGAGGTGGTGGTGAAGGCTTCTGGGAGTTGTAGTCCAAGAACATCTGGAGGCCCAAGGTTGGGAACCACTGCACTAGAGGAGTGGAGCTGGTAAAACTACCCCTTAAATACTTACTTACCTTGAAAGCCCAATTAGGGCTTTCTAACTTGACAGCATGGAACAAGGTCCAGCAATAGGCACGTACTGTATCACCCTCAGACACCTACAGGTTGCCCATCATTACCATACAGAAAAGGTACAGAAAAGGTATCTGTAAGAGATTCCCTCCTCCTCACCCATTTCCAAGTACTGTAATGACTGTTCATCTGGGACAGATAGCTTGCTCTCTTCTCACACCTTTTCCTTTCATGAGTGCACAGAGGGTAAAGAAATGATCCAGAACTTCCTCATCATCAGGCTATATGTGGTCTGTCTCCATAGCACTTACCTTTCACTGCTTCAGCTTCTACACACTCTTTGCCCAGCTCCCAGTTCTCAGTGTCTTGTTCTCTATAGCAGTGGTCCCCGACCTTGGGCCTCCAGATGTTCTTGGACTACAACTCCCAGAAATCTTGGCCAGCAGAGGTGGTGGTGAAGGCTTCTGGTAGTTCTAGTCCAAGAACATCTGGAGGCCCAAGGTTGGGGACCATTGCTCTACAGTGTTGCCAAGCTCCTCCTTTTCAGCTACTGTTTACAGATCTCAGTGGTCCAAGCCACTTGACAGTACATTTGCTTGGTGGATCTCCTGGGTTCCTCCTAACTGGGGATTCAGCTTCTGGACAAACTCGGCCTGTTGTTGTAGCTCTCAAACAAGCCTCTAACCTCCTTCCTTACAACTCATTTGCCTGCCTCTGCTGCCTATAGGAGGCTTCTGGACAGTTCTAAGATATTAATGAATCTGCAAATCTTTCTGCTGAAAGGCCTCCATTTGCTGCTGGAAATCAATGTCATAAACTAGATGCATTACTCCATTTGTTTCAGCCAAGTTCCTAGTTCCTTGCAGAGGAAAGGTAGCTATGGTTCCTGAGACACAAGATACTGTATATAAAACAAACCAAAGGAAGGTGTGTGGGTTATATACTGCCCCATAGCACCTAAAACACCCTCTGGACGGGTTACAATTCTAATTCGGCAGGCTACACTACAAGATATGTCTACATACCCCTTTTGGAGGCATATGGCTAAATCCAATTGTTAGTCACAAACAACTAAGGTACACCCGTTGAATCAATGGGACTTTGGTACATCAGCCCTTGTATAAGTCCTTTTTAATCCAATTGTTTTAAATTAATTTCAGTTCAAAAAATCTAATCAACCTGGGATCAATTCCCAGTTTTGAAAGTTTGTTTTAATTGATTCTGAAATTAAAATATCTTTATAGCCTTGAACTGAACTTCTAGATGCAAAATAAGATGACAAATATTCTAAAACACATACATCTATATCATTTATCAAATGTATGAGTTACACCCATTGCAAAAAAAAGCAGTCTTAAAGGACTAATCGTTTACAAAATATAGATAAACCATAATTAATGTAAGAGAGAAAACAAAATCAGTATAACCCCAATTAGTACAATAAACACATGTGCCATTAAACACTATTTTAAAACAAAGAACTACCAAGCATGTGCATCCACAATACATAAACCCTCCTCTTCCAGCTTAAAACGTACACCAGAGAAGCAGCGCATAACTGTGAGTCAGTTTGTTTAAGCAAAAAACTAGTGGTTCAGTAAGGAGACACTGAGCATTTTCTTCTCTAATGGCTTTTTCTCATTTATTTGCTGTACTCCAGAATAAAAGGGTTGACAAGAGACTGCATTTCCAAGATAACCATATGAAGAGAAAAAGACAGGCAAGAGCAGATGGAAGAGTACTGAGAATGGCAGTTCTCCTGTATTTCCTAGGAGTCAAAAACAAACTTGTAATCTCAAACCTTTAATCTTTAGCTAAATGGTACCTTTGTCTGAATGTGTGGTACACTAAGGTATATGTCAAATTATGATGGGACTGTGACTGATTTTTGTGAAAATGTCTGGCTAGGTCAGATTATGATCCTGTACCCAGAATTTGAGGAAGTAAGAGACACCTGATAAAAGAAACATCCTTAAGTATATATTGGTCCCTGTGCTAGAGTTCTTTTATCAGTCAATGTCAACTGGTTAAAAATAAGGATAACTGTAATGCTACATAAGGCCACTGTCTATTCAACTTTCCATTTTCTCTAATTCGTTATTCAGGCACTAGTCATTGTCTGACCACACGCATGAACTGAGAGAGGAGTGCTTAACTCCACTTTCACCACATCTTGACTTCATGTAGAAAGCAAGGACTTTAGGGAGGCAGAAGTTATTTAGACTACCGTAGTTTATATCTCTGGGATAAAAGCTATTCAGAAAACGTGGTCTGAGTCTTAATTTAGACTAGTTTATATGAGAAAGAACCCTGATTTTCCAGGTTCTATCTCCTGAGCTTTTGGCCAAGGATTTGATATTCATAATTCTATCTCCAAACGTGGTTCACTTGGTTGTCATGGCTGATGAATTTTGGTAGCCCTATCCGCCACAGATACAGTAAGTTTTTGTTTAGTTGGGCCTGGAAACTAAACCGACTGCCAAATAACTTGGGGAACGACGTTTATGCGTGTTCCCAAAGTGGTCTGCCTTTATTTTCAAAGGACGCTCTGCCTTCTCCTTCCAACGCTGTGCAAAAAATAATCATAGTAATAAAAAAAAATCCCTACTCTCATCTCTATACGAGCTGGATTTCCTCTGTTGGGGACTGCGGAACAGCTTTCTTCCGCTCAGTCCAGGAAACTCGGACTTATTTTCTATCCCAAAATGGAAGTACGACAGGTTTGAAAGTGTTTTAAGGCTCTCAGCCTACACTACATGATCCTACAAAGAAGAATCGGGAAAGGGTGGACTCAAATCGCTCCGCTCCGCTTGAACCGCTGGTTTCGTTT